TAGCTTTTAATATTATGCTTAAACACATGATTTATATCCTGAAAAGGTATGTTTAATTCACTTATATCATGCTCAAAATTGCTATTAAATAGATTATCAAAATAATTACTTCATCTTTTTTTAATATTTTCATCATTCACTAAAACTCATCCATCATTGCCTTTAATGCTTTTAACGCCATTAAGATCTCTACTATTCTTATCCCTCATCTTAGCAATTTTGAATAGTCTCTAACTATTGTCTATAGTTTTCTATATAACTCTTCATGGATCCTACTTTTTAAGTCTAGAATAGCTTTTTTGGTTTTCTTTTTTGCTGTCTTATACTTCTGATAACTCCCATCATCCCTACTGTTCCATAAACTTTTAAAACACTCTTGTTTAGCTTTAATTGCCTTTTTCACATCCTTGTTCCACCACCTAGATTCTTTTCTTAATAGTGCCTTACCCCTAGATTCCCTAATTGTCTCTTTAGCAACCATTTGAATTCTGGTTGTAATATTTTCCCACATTACTTTTACATCCTCATCAAGCTTCCAATCAACTTCAATAGAACTTGTTACTATTTAAAAAAAAAAAAAAACTACCTGAATGTAATTTTTAAAGTTTCATTTGATAAATATTTAATTTTTTTCTTATAAAAATATAAATTAAAAAAATTAAAAACAAAAAAAAAGTAAAAACATATATGAATATACCAAGTAAAACCTCAGGAATAGACCAATTCTCTATATTAAGATTTACCATGCAGAAATAAATTCTTATCGGATAAGTGACAAACCTGAAAATAATCAATGGACGGTGTTGATTTCCTTAGCTGTTTTAAGATAAATCACTAACTGATTAGAATTCACCACTATTTCTAGCTAAAAAGAAATTTAAAATGCATTTTAGCAAATTATATGTCTATTTTGTGAAATATGCTTCAAGAGATAGCTAGTTAAATAGAAGGTCATTGAATCTTGACCATCCATTGTTGATTTTTACATTTAATCATATCCGTCCAAACATAGGAAACTCAATTAATGCTTATATTTATAAGAAAAAAAATCCTCTTATATGGTATATGTATATCCACTACCACCATTTCGGATTTTCTTCAAATTCATCTCTTTGTATTAGTAATATATGAAAATATTGTAGAATATTTAGCTTTCATAATTATCTAATTAAGCTTGATTTAGGTGTTTGTTTTAGTATTATTTTAAAACATAGCTTTTGAATGCAAAAGCAATACTAAAAATGTTATAGCTTGAGTTAAAAGTACTTTTTCCTATTAAAAGTGAGCCAATGGTAAAAGTTAATTATGAAGTGTTTGCGATTCCAAATTTATGATTTGGAGACAAAATGACTAAATATCCGGTTCATTGTTTTTTTTTTTTTTTATAGAAATAACCTATTTTTCTTTTTCAACATCATGTTCTCTATCGACATTTTAGTTTTTCACAGCAATGCTAAAAAATCTTTAAATTTTAATTTTTCATAGTAATTTTTTACAGCATTTTTCAAACGCATTTCTTGCTAAATTGAGTTTTTTCCAACCAAAACAACAATGTTAAATTAGATCTTAATCTTAACATTAATAATGTCAATAAGGTATTAGCTTAGTGGTAAGGAGGAAACCCTTATATCTTAAGGTTATAAGTTTAAATTTCACTATGTGTGACTTTGGTTGTTTAGTTATATTACAATTTTTAGTTGATTATTTGGAGATTATAATTTGATTATATAAATGTAATATTTTATTATGAATGTAACTTTAAAAAAAATTAACATTAATAATAGACATAAAAGATTATTCTTAATTGTACATTTTTTAATTGACAAATGTTATTCTTAATTGGATTTTTAATCACTAGGGACCATATTTATTATTTGTGTATTATAAAACACATCCAAATAGGCGATAGTTTTTATATTAATAAAAATTTAAATTAATCTAAAACCAAAATTTATGAATCACATCATGACTTTATTTGGACAATTTGACTTTAATTTAATTTTTAAATTTTTTAAATTAATTAAAAAACACTATTTTCACTTATTGAAAGATAGACTATGGTTTATTATGTGAGAATTATATCCTAAAAGGTAAGTAAAGTTTTTAAATTTTATTATCAAAGTTAAAAGTTTATTGTATATTTATTAAAAATATTTAAAATAATTATATAAAAATTTAATGGATATTTAATCTGAAATTTAATTTTTTTAGTTTAAGCAATCTTTTTTAAGTTGAATATTCAATTCAAATTTCAAAACTAATAATTTATTTTCACCTTAAATTACAAGCTCTTTCATAGAAAAATAATGGATATCCTTTAATTCCTTTTTTATAAATATATCTTACCCTATACTTGAAATTGGCCAAAAGTAGATTTTCATGTTGAAAATAATAATTTTTCAATGTAAACAATGGTTGCAGATGAATCAGCCACTAATTGCTTTCATTTTAAATAGAACTTTTTACTATTTTTTAAAAAATAACCTATCCAAATGTAATATTTAAAGTTTCATTTGATAAATATTTTATTTTTTATTATAAAAATATAAATAAAAAATTAGAAATAAAAAAAGTAAAAACATATACAGATATACCAAGTAGAACCTCAGGAATAGACCAATTCTTTATATTAGAATTTACCATGTAGAAATGAATTATAATCAGATCAATGATTTACTAGAAAATAATCAGTGGATGGTGTTGAGTTTCCAAGCTATTTTTTGGTAAATCACTAACTGTTTAGAGTTCACCACTCTTTTTTTTTTTTGTTTTTTGCTAAAAAGAAATTTAAACTGCATTTTAGCAAAATATATGTCTATTTTGTGAAATATGTATCAAGAGATAACTATTTAAATAGAAGGTTATTGAATCTTGATTCTCTATTGATGATTTTTACACTTAATCATATCTGTCCAAACATAGGAAACTTAATTAATGCTTACACTTATAAGGAAAGAAAAATCCCCTTATATGGAACATGCATATCCACCATCGCCACCTCAGATTTCTTCAGATTCACTCCCTTTGTATTAGTAATATATGGAAATATTGTATAAGAACAACTGGCTTTCGTAATTATATAATTAAGCTTGATTTAGATATCATTTTAGTATTGCATTTGAGTTTTAAAACATAGCTTTGGAATGCAAAACTAATGCTAAACACATTATAGTTTGAGTTAAAAGTACTTTTTGATCGTTAAAAGTGAGCCAATTATAAAAACTAATTAAGAAGTGTTTGTGGTTTGAAATTTATAATTTGAAGACAAAATGACTAAATACCCACTTCATTATTTATTTTTAACAAAAATAACCTAATTTTCTTTTTCAACATCATGTTTTTTTTAGACATTTTAAGTTTTCACAGCAATGCTAAAAAATTTAAACTATAATTTTTCATAGTAATTTTTTACAGCACTTTCAAATGTACTTTTTCCCTTTTTTTTAAATTGAGTTTTTCCTAACCACAACACAAATGTTAAATTAAGTGTTAATTTTGACATTAATAATGCCAATGAGATATTGATTTAGTAGCAATGAGGAAACCCTAAAATCATGAGATTATAAGTTCAAATTTCACTATGTGTGATTTTGGTTATTTAATTATGTTATAATTTGTTAGTTGATTATTAAGTTATTGTAATTTGATTATATAAATGTCATACTTAATGAATGTAACTTAAAAAGAAAAAAAAAACTTAACATTCACAATAGATATAAAATATTGTTCTTAATTTTGCATTATCCTTAATTGAAAATTGTTGTTCTTAATTGGATTTTCAATCGCTAGGGAGTCGTGTTTACTATTCATGTATTGTAATACACATCCAAATAAGCAATAGTTCTTATATTAATAAAAAATTTAAATTAATCTAAAACCAAATTTTATGAATCACATTATGACTTTACTTGGACAATTTGACTTTAATTTAAATTTTTTTAATTTTTTAAGTTAATTAAAAAACATTATTTTTCACTTATTGAAAGATAAACTATGGTTTATTAGATGAAAATTATATCCTAAATTATAAGTAAAGTTTTTAAATTTTATTATCAAAGTTAAAATATTATTGTTTATTCATTAAAAATATTAAAAATAATTAATATAAAAATAAAAATAGATGATAATATTTTAATTGGATTTGTATAGTCTAGAATGATAATAGTTGAAACATATAAAAATCCTTGCAATATTACACAATTGAGTTATTTTCTATTCTTTATTTGGAAAATATACAATATTGACACATAATTGTAAATAAAGAAATTAATAAAATTACATCCTTGAAATAAAATCAATACTAATAAAATATTTAAAATTTTATATTTAATTTAGATGATAGTTTAGAAAAGAGTTTAATTTCAAACCAACGTTTCTAAATGAGTATTAAAACATTTTGTTAAAGATGATTCTAAATATCTTTATTTTTTTTACACCCAATTTTTTAAAAAATTTTTAGGTGAAATTACTTCTTTAATATTCTCATTTAATGTATTTTTGGTAAATTATATAATTTATAATCTATATATTTTTAGTAAGTTTTACATAACTTATTGAATTTTTATATCTGATAAATTAAAAAATATTATATTTAAGTTTTGAAAAAAAATTTATTGAGATAAAATATTTAATAAAAAGTTTAAATTCTGAATATATAAATCCAAAAATTTAAAAATAAAAAAATAAAAAAAAATTAAATAAATCTATTTACAAATTTTGAAAAAAAAATTTTTTTTTTGTTGATTTGGGCTCTTTGGAAGTGTTGTTGAACGGTCAAAAATATTCAAAATTTTGAAAAAGCAAGCACGTTGATGCAGCAGAGAGCTGCAGGCCAAAGCCCGTTAACCAATTCCATTTTTTAAAAAATAGTCCCTCTTTCTGAAAAATTTTTAAATTTTGAAAAAACCCTTAACCTCTCCTTTAGGGCGCGCCACTGTATCCGTACTTTCCTTTTTATTTTATATATTCTTTCGCCATTTTCGTCTTCTCTCTCTGTCTCTCTTCAAAGTAGATATTTTCACTGAAACCTAAAGATCTCAGATCTGTTTCTTTGTCTTCCTCTTTCAAATTGTAACTGTAAGCTACATTCTTTCTTCCCATTTATCTCTTTATTCACTTTTCATGTCTGAAATGTTCAAATTTGTTTATGAAGTTGATTTTTTTTGGTCCAAATTCGTGAATGTTATCTCGTTTACTTGAGTTTTATTTTGGGTTATGTTGAAACGTTCATATCTAATCCGGGTTCTTCGAATTTTATGCTTTTTGAGTGTATTTGTAAGCAATGCTAATGCTTTTTTATGTTTATGGGTTTAACTCACATGAAAAGTTTCATTCATTTGTGAAGTTGATTTTTTTTGGGTCCAAATTCGTGAATGTTATATCGTTTACTTGAATTTTGATTTGGGTTTATCTTGAAATGTTCATATCTAATCTGGGTTCTTCGAATTTTACGCTTTTTGAGTGTATTTGTATGCAATGCTAATGCTTTTTATGTTTCTGGGTTTAACTCACGTGAAAAGTTTCATTCATTTCTGCATGGTTGACTTTGAGTTTCTTTTCTTTAAGATTTTGTTTAGTTATTACCAAAGCCCATGAAGCTAAGTAAAATGATTCCATCGACAAAGTATTAGAAAGAAAACAAGTTTTTGGGTTCCCTTTTGTTTCGTGAGCATTTGTTAATCTTGTAATGAAACACTTTATTTGGTGGCTGTAACATAAATATTTACATCAACAAGCCACTATAGTAGTAATAGGGAATTATTGACGGTTACCTGTTTGATCATTATTCTCAGGGAATGGACTCTCTTCCTGATGCCATTGTTCAGTACATTTTGTCACACTTGAACAATGCTCGGGATGTTGCAGTTTGTAATTGCGTATCCAAGAGGTGGAAGGAGTCGTTGCCTTACCTTAGAAGTCTCTACTTTCCTCGCAATTCCTTCGATAGCCACTCTGGCAGTGATAGCCCGGACACTATTGTCTGGAAAGTGCTTTCGACAATTGCTTGTTTAGAGGAGCTTGTTGTTTACAGTCCATTCACCAGTGCAGGCCTTTCTTCGTGGCTATTGCTGGTGCGTTCATCACTCAAGCATCTTGAGCTCAGAATGGATAATATTACTGATTATCAGGAATGTCTTGATAGCCCTTCCAAATTGGACTGCATTAATGCAGCGAAGAATTTGGAGTCTTTGAAGCTTTGGGGTGTTCTAATGGCTAATCCACCCAAGTGGGATGTTTTTAAAAACCTTCAAAGCCTGGAAATCGTTGGAGCAAGATTGGAGGATCCTGCATTGTCTGCTGCGCTTAGTGCATGCCCTAATTTGACTAACTTAGTATTGCTTGGTTGTGAAGGGGTTAGATCAGTTTCAATTGAGTTGCCGTACTTAGAGCAGTGTAAGCTGGACTTTTATGGCTTGGGAAATTGTTCCCTTTATCTCACTTGTCCGAAAATTGAACTCCTTGAGGTGCAAGGTTGTAGTTGGATTCGAGTTCGTGAGACTACATGCTTGAGGAACCTTTCAATTGCCAACAATGCGGGTAATTATTCCACTTATAATTCTAGTATGCTGTCCTGTTTTTGTGTAGGATTTCTTTTTTGCAGAGAAAGAAAGAGAACAATTTGAACTGAAATTTTAGTTATCATTTTGCTTTCTGATGCTTTTAGGTAGAGTATACATGGTAGACTTTGGGAAGCTTTCAGCACTTGAATTCTTGTCCATGAGGGGGGTGCAATGGTGTTGGGATGCAATAAGCAAAATGCTAGAATGGTCTAGTGAGGTGAAACATCTCTACATGAAGGTTGAATTCACGGGAGATTTGGAGTCCCTTTTACCCTTTCCAGAAGTTGACTTTGTTGAATTTTTTAATAGCCATTCCAAGCTGCAAAAGTTTGATATTCATGGAGCCATGTTTGCTGCTCTCTGCCAGAAAAACAGCCTGAAAAATGCAAGTTGATAACACGACAGTATTATTGTTGATTCTCTGGCCTCATTTGACTTTCAATATTGCACGTGTTGCTAACAAAGAAAATTTGTATTTGCAGGTAGAACCAGGCTTTTCGATTCCATGCCTAGAGGAAGTTGTGGTCCAAGTGAGATCACCACTAAACGCTGAACAGAAAATTAGCACTCTGGAGTCCCTTCTGAAGTATGGGAAAAACTTGAAGACAATGGTAATAAGGATTCTTCAAATGAAAAGCAGCCATAGCAGCACAGATGATTTCTTTGATGAGATATGCAGGCTTAGGTTTATGAACCGCAAAATAGTTCGAATAGAATAAAGTTGACTACTTGCACTTTCTAATTTTTTTTTTCCAGCTTTGAAATGAACAGTTTTAACTGCTAATTTAATTGCTTCAAGAAGGTTCTAATGGAGAAACTTTAAAAATTTCAGCTCCATTTCTAGTGTTGTGTATTTTGATGCATTAAGTTATCTTAGGCATATGAAGTTTTTCCTTTTGACATTCAGTGTGAATGCACTTCGTTTTTCCATCAAAGAACATGCAGATGAAATCCCTATACAACTTGATGCTCACATGGAGCATCAAATCAGACTACGAACCACATGCCATCGTTATGCAAATCAGATGAAACCAATTCATTGATATAAGGTTGGGTGTAAAATGTTGTGTTTGCATTCCTTTCAGTCAAAGATGTAAACAATACTCTTTTAATGGTATCAAAATTTTCCTTCTGCCACATACACGAAAAGAGAAATAACAAGAAAAGTTTTAGAATTTCCTCATCTACCGGTCAACATTTAGATAAGCTTCTTCTTTTGGAAGAATCTCTTCAAGTACCACACTTGCAGACCCGAAACAGTGATGCAGATACCCAAAGACATGATACTAAACCGCGTGACTCTGCCATTTGTAGTCTCACTCACACTCCTCATTTCTGCTTCTCTGTTATACAATAAGGAGGATGTTAGCTTGCTTCAAAGAAAAGCTCGAACTTTGAATGCACCCTAACAGAAACACTAATAATTACCTGCTTTTCAGATAGAGTAAATTCTCATGAATGGCCTCCACTGCTCCTTCAAGTTTCCTCAGCTCAAGCTCAACACCCTATACGTAAACAATCATGATGAAACACGCAAATTCATACAAAAAAGAAGCATACAGAGACAGGAATACGAGAGAGAGCTGGATCTCAATGCAAATACACTATAATCATAAGGAGGTCGAATTTATTTCCCTTCTCAAACCAATTTGTTTAAGTAGAAGCTGTTATACCAACACAACTTATCAAATGAATAGGAAGGTCATTCAAAAATTTCAACTCAACAAAATAAAATTCCAAGCTTTGAATGTGCATAAAATCATTTGCTCAACCTCACTGTGCAAATTCCAGAAAGTAACCATGGAATCAACAATTACTATATGAATTCCTTTTGAGAAAAAGTTGATTGGTATACTTTGTAGCGTAGGAAAAGCAGAAACTTGGCAATAAAAGAGTTCTCCTGTGAACAAATAAAGATCCACAAGCATGATCACCTCAAAAATCATTTAGAACCCATATTTAGCTTGAAGTCGGATCATGACCAACCACGGTTTCCTTTCTAAATCTGGACATGATTAAAGGCAAAACAAGGAAATTAAAAAAAAAAAATGCTCACCTCAATTTTTTCTTTTCTCGCAACTGATTCCCAGTCTTTAGCTGCAATCCCAGTTTTCCAATCAATGTTGACACTAACTTCTCCACCTCCATGACCATGGCTCTCCAACCAGAAACATGCTAAGTAATTGCCGGACTCCTGAGTTGTGAATGCAAATTGACCATGTGTTACATTCTCCCTGTGATGAAGATTGTTCCCATACGGGGACGTCACCTACATGACACAAAAACTGTGAGCTGCAACTATATCTAGCAATTCTTGTATTTGTGTAGTGTAAAATATTAAAATTTGTGTATTCACAGCGTGTTTACACGAAAATTACAAATCACAATTTGTATGACAAGAACACACGAAATACATTTTTTTTTATTTTGTTAAATCTTAATATAGTATTGCTAAAATTTTAAGTCGTGTCATTTTTATGTCCTATTTTCCTATTGTGTTGGTCTCATATCATAGTGTCGTGTTGTAGATTGCCATGCTCGAGGATGTAAAAGTTTGCCTTAAATCAAAACAATTCTATACCCACATTGAAAATCAGCTATTTCAAGCAATACAAGTAACACATCTAACTGATTCCAAAAAAAAAAAAAAAAGAACATAAAAGTCAAACCTTGTGCCATTTAGTTTTAGCTGTGTTGATTATTTAGTCATCAACATTGAGAAAAAATGAACCCTGTTCAAATCTTAGAGTAATCCTGTTCTAACAGATCGAAAGATGAAAACTTGGAAGAAGAAGAAGAAGAAGAGGGGCAAAAGCGGAATTGTACCTTGACGGAAATGGTAGGGACGTGAGTCACGTGACCATGATCTTCGGAAATGACGACATAGTCAACCAAAACGACGACGTTATTCTGGATTTCATCGGAGACGCACTTAGTGCCGGTGGGGGGAAGATTCAACCATACGGCGTCACCCACCGGCGCATTGCTCAAAGCCCATAGTAATATCACGAACAAGGATGGGAATATCACCGCCCTGCGCACGTCAGCATTCCACGTCATCTCTCGGCAAACGAATTTCTTCTTCTTTTTTAAACAAAGGAAAAATTTTTTAAGAAGTGAGTTTTGTTTTGGCGACAAATGCTTTGGATCTGTTTCAAGCACCAACGACGCAACGGCCACCTCCGTTTCAGTTCGCTTCTTGCCTCCTTTATTGTTTTCATTTTTCTTTTTAACAAAAATCAACATTAAATGTTGAAAAATTATTTTTCTAAACAATTCTTATTTATTGAAAATATTTATATTTTGTCAAATTCGTGCTTTTCCTCAAAATATATTGGAAAATTTTAAATGTCTTAAATCAATTAGTTTATCTGTGAAGCTCAAAATATTTTGAGATTACTCACGGATTGCTTATATTTTATAAAATTTAAAAATTTTGATAAAAATAATGTCTAGTTGCATTTTATCATTTTATTGGAATTCTAAATTAATAATATTAATTTACTAAAACATGTTAATTAATAAGAATTAAGAATGAAAACGAATTAAATATTAATAAATGAATGTATATTTATGTTTTATGAAAAGTTTGAGCTCAATTTACGTTTGTTAAGAAATTGTTTTATTTGTTTAAATTTAATTCGTTTAAATAATAAAATATTTGTATTTGATTCATGTTTAATTAAATTAAATAAATATATTTATAAATAATAAATAAATTTAAAAAAAAATAAAAATTTATTATTATTATAAACGAATAATAAATAAATAATAAATTTTAAACGAAATTGTTCATAAATATAAATGAAATATACAATTTTTGTTAATTTAATAAATAAATGTAAAATTATTGTTCAAAATTATTTATTAAATTTAATAAAATCAAATATATTTGCAGATAATTCATCAAATAGTATTCAATTACACCTCTGTTAGTGCAACATATCAACGCTCTCATTGTAAGAATTGTTGGTGTGTGGTTATTACAAAATATTGTTTACTTATAAAAGGTGAGATCATTTTTCCTTTAACAAAATTAATGATAGATTGAACTTCACCTAACCTAAGCAATTATAATTTTGTACAATGGAAGCCTATGTAAGTAATGTAGTAGTAATTTATTTTATATCGTATTATCTTCAAAAATAAACCTTTTAAGTTGGAAATTTTGGAGTGAGATTATAGACCAGACCACCGCCCAAGCCCAATACCGAAAGCTCAGTGGCCGGCACTGGCATCGTTAAATCTGGGCCTAGCTAGAGACTCAGACAGACACTTAACTTAATAAACTTATGGGTGAGTTTGGTAAAAAACCAGACCAAATCTGTTCTGCCCGATGGTAGATCTGGTTGGCTACCTCTGTCTTGGACCCAGTTTGATTTTGGTGTTAGATTTAGAAGCGAAACATAAAACCAAGAATTAAAAGAAAAAAAAAAAAAAACAGAGAAGTAAAACCTTGGTAAGAACACTGTGTAATATCTAAAGGGCAATGGATTTTTTTAAACGTGATAATTAGTATATTTATATTATATAAAATATTAATAATTCATGTATTTATCTCATAATTTACAAAAAAAAGTTATGTATTATAGTTTATTTTGATAAAAAATAAAATATATATATTTAATTTTATTAAATTTATATAAATTTTTTATTAAAATTTTAATTTATATAAAATTTTTTATTTTTATACATATTATTTTAATATTGTATCACCTTATTTTATTTTAAATTACCACGTATGTATTTTTTTTTTTTCAAACAACGGTCATCCAATTAAAGTCCACATCTAACATTTACTTTTATCTGATATATATCTAAATTCCTATGTGCTCGTGAGCTGTCAGAGCTTTTTCCAAAATCATTATTGGGAGCATTGAAAAGCTTTTTCCTCCATGGAATTCAAAAGGGACCACAAATTTGATGCTTGACAATGTCAATGGGTATGGCCCTACCTTTCACTATGTTAAGAATCCTATCCTTGATTGAGATAAGGAAAGCCACCCACACCCCATCTTCTTGACACCAAAAAGGAATTTTGTTCTTCTTTAAAATTAAAGGCTAAATGGATTTATCCCAAAAGATTAATTGAATTAAAAAGTCAATTCCAACGGTCCATTGGTTCACTCTTTAGGCATCAAAAAGCAAGAAAATTAGATGATCAGCATTGTTCTAGTAAATGAATGAGATAATTAAGAGATAATTCAGTATCCAAATTTATTAATTTAATTGGTAAGAAAAGAAACTTATTTCATTAGTAAAATTTAAATTCGATTATTATTATTAACAATTTTTTAATAAGTGATCTATAAATATAAATATAATATAAATTCTCATTGGAATCTACAACATACTAAACCACCGTAAGAAATGCGTTTTTAACATTATTTAGCTGACATACAAGACCAAAAGTAGCCATGCTTTATATGATTCTCCACCCACTAGCTTTTTTTTGTTGTTCTTTCTTTTCATTGTGACATTATTCACTAGCTAGATCTGTGCTTGAATTCACAGCAACATCAAAAGATGGAAGCCCTCCTCTCGCAATTTATCTTCCTCTCTGATCAAGCTTTACAGGACAAGAACTTTGATCCATCGACGATCGAAGACCTAATGAAGCTGTTTGAGATTGAATCTTACAAGGCATGGGCAGCTATGGAACTTGAACAAGAAAAAGAAGTGAAAGAAGCTGAGAAAACCATGAAGGAAGCTGAGGATTATCTTGACTCTGTCATGGAAAGTGCAATGGATGAGTTTAGGCGGTTTGAGGAGGAGATGGAACGCATGTCAAAGGCTGAACTGAACGGTCTGGAAGAGACAGCTGAGAAGGCTAGAAAAATGGGAAACTTGATGGAAAAGGCTACAACTATTGCCTCCAAAAAGTACATTGAGGCTGCAGTGAATTCTGCTACTGCTTCCATGAAATCTGCTTGGAAAGGACTTTCCTCTAAAAAGGTTCATCCTTCATGAAAGCAAAATTTTCTTTTGTAATTTACATATATAATTGAAAAAGCCCTTCTGGGTTTTCTTTCGTGTGACGTTTCTTTTATAAAGTAGCAAAGGTAAACCATGTTCCTTGAATAAGTAAAATTGGTAAGATCAAGCAGGCAATTTTCCTTCATCTTTTGTTTGTTTGTTTTTGACTTGAATGACTTCGTGAGCTAGCCTAATATCACAGATTCTTTCAATGACTTAAGCAGAAAAAAGGGTTGGCCTGATTCCTACACAAAATCTTCAGTTTCCATGGAGTGCGATCTGATTTCTCCATTCCCATGTGCATAACACTATACATAGTTTCTTCAGTTGGCAGATTAGATCTGTTGAATTGAGTTAATTTCTGTGCTTATGAATGCTTATTTGCAGTAGTTTTTGGTTTCTTTGCTTTTTCACAAACTGTGAACTGAGAATCCAAGAGTTGAATATGAGCTGAGATTTTACGGATAAATAAAAAATTTCAGTAACAAAGGCTTGAAATCAAAATGATCCTACTCTCGCCATATAAAGTCGAAATAAAGTAAAGATGAACTCATCTAATTGATAAATTAAGCCATGGATTCCACAAAAAAGGCAGAAACAGTAATCCTCCATCTCTATTATAACTTAATGCTCATTAATAGCAAATTCTGTTGAAGTCCAATCCCGTCTGATAAAGAGTTGATTGAAAACAAATTTGAGGAGATCAAATAAGTTGGGGAAACTTTCCGTTGATCCAACTCTTTCATGCTTATTTTACAGCTTAGATCACAGTTTCGGGACAGACGAACTAGTTAAACGTCATCAGTCGAACGAATTATAGATGTTGAAATTTGAATTTCAAACTTATTGGATCTCATAAGATGGCTGGAAAAATCAACTCAGCTAAACAACTCAGTTTCAACTCTTTCTATGGTTTAATTTTGCTTATTTAAGGGCACAATTGAAAGATACTATAAACTAGTTTGCAGGGACTATTAACAACTTGACAGACTTCTGATTGGTATCCATTTTTCTTGATATTTGTTCGAGTTTCATAAATCTTACTTGCATCAGACTTGAAGTCTTCAAATAACTTCAGGATTCTCTCTGAAGTTTATGTTATATGCGCATAAACTACATATTTTCTTTGCTTGAAGAGAAGAATTGGAAAAGATGCTTGAAGAGAACCGAAAGAAGGTGGAAGAAGCTGAGAGAAGGGAAGCAGCAGAACAGCAGCTGAGAGAGTTGGAACGTTATAGGGAATTACAGGAACTTCAAAGACAAAAGGAAGAAGCCATGTAGAGGAAGAAGCAACAGGAGGAGCACTTGTAATCTGAGGATTCCATATTTGTCGGTGCAGTTTTGAAGTTGAAATATGCTCCCCTTGCTGGGTTCGAACTTTTAGGCTGTAGCAAGGTTGGGGATTGGGTCGCAATCAGCAAATGTGACACTGCTAGCTTGACTTAATGAGTCCAAGCCCAAACCCATCGAAGCTTTGCTTCAATGGCCTCACTAGCCCATGCACACCCCACAGACAGACCAACTATGCTTGCCTTGTGTATGGCATCTGTAAATAAGCAAGACTTCCATGGCCTAATTGAGCTTAATTTCCACAAAGCCAAGATTGCATTATGTGGGAAGAAACTTTGAAGTCGAGTATGATCTCAAGTACAAAGACTTGTTTTAGAACAGGTCAAAGCACCCTTTTTACTGGGGATGCCTTCTGACCTGAAAAGTGAACCAGAATTCGAGATTACTTGGGAAAGGGGCAGCAAGTGCAGGGCTTAGATTCTATAAGTAGAGTTTGAACATTTTAAAGCTATATATAGATATTGAGGATTCGCATGCTGAACAGTTGGAGTGAATTGAAGTATTATTGTCTTCTTGTTACATAATAAAAGTAATAAACAGCCAAACCTTTTATTGCTGTCTTTTACTATTAGATTCATTGAAACTACAACTACAACTACAACTATAATGTAAAGGACATGGAGTAGGCAGATGGTGGCCCAATTGACTGGCGTCAATGGCGGTTTAAGGGCCTAAACTATAATATAAAAAATTAACACGTTGTGAAGGGTTGGTGGGAAAGAACATATTGCAGTAGTAATATTAAACAATTTTAGATTCAAATTTCATTTCAGAATAGAATGAAAATTGGTAGATTGGAATTTGGAATAGAAATTTTTAGGGTGTACATGAACATAAACGAATATATATATATATATATACATATGTGATTTATTCATTTAATTTTAAAAGTATTTGAATTTGATTTGTGTTCAATAAAAAATTATTCTATTTATTTGATTTCAATTCATTTAAGTGATAAAATATTTACGTTTAGTTCGTATTTGATTAAATTAAATCAAACGAATTTATTCATTAACATTAAATGAATATATTAAATAATATATATATAAATAAATATATTTATGAATAATAAATAAATTATAATTGAATAAATTCAAAGAAATAAATTTTATATGAATATAAATGAATCTTAAAATAACATTAAAATAAATGATAAAAATATAATTTTATTAATATTATTATAAATAAATAAATTTTAAATAAAAATTTCTTCATATTTGATTCATTTAATAAACAATCATTTAATAAATAAATATAAAGAAATAAAAATAAAATATTTATAAATAATTTGTCGAAAATTATGCTAACGGACAATTGTAAAATTTTTCCCTCTCTCCGAGTCAACTCAGCGATTCAAACGCACAAACCCAAGGGTCCACTCTTCTGACCAGCTGGTCACACTGTCAAATCTGACTGACACACACATCTTTTTTTTTCCCTCTCACATCTATCATCATTAACGCATAATTGCCCCCACGGATTAAGGGATGGGCCCCACACTGAAAAAACAATGAGAAAAATAATTAAAAAAAGAAAAAAAACAGTGACTGTACGTGGGTGGCATTTAATACATGCACGTGGAGCGCTGGAACGGGTTAGGTTTTCCCACCCCCCCCCGAGCGTACGATGTGGGCACATCACAGCCGTCCATCTCTTCGATTGCACACTTCCCCACTTCCAGCACAAACGACAAAGCTCTTTTCTTTTTTACTTGTGTTTTCTTGGACTCGGGGCTTTCATCTTATTAATTTCTTCCCATTCCCTTTTCACGCGCTCTTCTCTTCTCAACTCTATTTTTATAATAACGTATTTTTTTATTAATAATATAATTAGGGTATAAAGATATATTTTTTATGTTGATATAATATGTAATTTATCTGCCAAAAAGAAAAAAGAAAATCAACATTGCTGATCACGCGCCAAGGAGAGAAGGCGAGGAGGGAGAGAATGGAAATGGTTTGAAGCGTCGACGTCGGCGATTAAATTCGAATCCTCGTTACTCGGGCTAAGGCTATTTCTTTCCCTCTACCACTTTCTTTTCCTCACGACGACACCCGCCCCATTACTCGCAAACGGGCAAATCTTACTCCCATTGTTAAAACTTTAACCTCCTTTCCCAAATTCTAATCTTCACTTAAAAAAATAGAAATTCACTAAAAATAAGGTTTCATAATTTCAATTTGGAATTCAAATTTTCTTTTGTAAAAAAAGAAAAAAAATAATACTTGAAAGTAAAAGATAAAATGAAATAAAAATTATAAATGTTAAAAATTAAACCTAACTTCATATTTAAAAGAATGTTAAGAGCACTTGAAAAAATAACTGTTTAACAATACTTAAAATTTTATGGAGTCACTTTAATTTATTTTTGTAATTTAAAATCGATTATCTATTAAGATGGTTTTATTTTTTCATAAGCCAAATTTTTTTTTTATGACTAATATTAAATAACTTATAAAAATAGATATTCGATTTTAAATGATAAAAATGACGTGATGTGATTTTATAAAATTTTAAATGTTGGGACCTAATCGATTATTCTTAATATTTCTCTCGTATTTATTGAATATTATTTTTTAAATAAATCAAACATTATTATTTGGTCTTTTGATGTTAATAATAAGGTGATTTATTAAAAAAATATTTAATTTTTAATATTAAAAATTAATTTATGATTACTTTAAGTAAAAAAATATTATCTATTCCCAAGACAACTTTGAGAAGCCCACCGTACGCACAGGAAATGAATGTGGAGACAGAGGAGTCATTAATTCATGACACTAATAAAAGTACTTGTTTGGGTGTTGCTCTTTTGAAACTTCAATAATAAGGTAATGATGAAGAATGAAAATAAAAAGAGCATCGGGTTTCTCTTTCAAAACCTATCCTATACGACTAAGCGATTGTAGCATTAGGGTTTTGAGTTCTATGTTCAAACTTCGATTTTGTAACTTTTTTTTTATTTAAATATTTCTTTCTTTATAATATATATATACATTTTTTTAATTAAAAAATAAGATATAAATATACTTTGTGTTAATACAATTTATAATCGTAATTTTTTATATAAAATATATTATAAATATATAAATTTTATATAATATAAATACGTAAATTATCAAATCTAATAATTTATATAATTTCACATAACTTGTTATATGTATTCTGATTTAATGATTATTCACATATTAATTATTAAATTTTAACTGTTCTTTTTCGAAAACATAATATTTTTAACTACTTATTCAATAAAAAATCCAAAGATTTGTTTTTAACAAAAATAAAGAAAGGAGAAAAGAATGTCACATTTCTTCTTTTATATTGTTGCAGCTTCAATTGAAACCCTAACTATAGTTCCTACATTAATCTGCCAGACATTAAAATTATTCTAGAAATTTTTACAAATTATATAACAAATATAATATAAAAAGGATGTAAAAGAACTCGACAATCTGGCTATTCATCTTGCTAACTATTACTTTATATGAGAATAAAACAGAATGTGAGATTTTTTATAGAAAAAAAATTATTAATAAAAGTTTTTAATTTTATCAATGAAATTAAAAGATTATCATGTATTCTTTTTGAAATTTAAAAGTCACCCATAATATATTAAAATCGAACTATCCATTTATATATATATATATATATATATACACCCATAAGTCATAGTATAAACAAAATTATGTACTTAATTATAAGGGAAAAGATTTATTATGAAAGTATTAATTCAAGATTATTATGTAATAATTAGGACGCCATAAATAAATAGAGAGATTCAATATATCTTTTTGCATGATCATGATCAATACAAGAAAGTAAGATAGTCCTTAAAGTGATTAGGTCTTTTTTTTTTTTTTTTTGCTCTTTTTTATTTGGTGGCACTCAACGAATAGTTACTATAACTCGTAAAAGTGAAAAGGAGACCATAGTTTATTTCATTAAAATCCTAAAACTTTTTTATCAAAGGTTTGCTGAGTTAAAAACCGATACAATCGTTAAATTATATTAGCTCAATAAAATATACATAACCTCTACTTAAATAATTACATTAAATTATTTATATTTTTATATTTGTCTCGTATTAAAAATAAATTTATCAATCAATTTTATTAAATTATTAAAATCATCAATTAATAATAATTCATTTATGAAAAATTCTAATATATTAGTCTATTACATTGTTAGTAGTACAAAGAAAGAATTGCTTTGTTTAGTAATTAATTTTGGAATGGAATTAATGGGCAGCATGCAATTGATCGGTGGAATAATATTGACTGGCGGTAGTAGGTAATGGTAGAAGATGAGGTGGTAAAAAACAAGAAAAAACACGTTTCTTTTTCACTTTTAAGCATTGTACGATGATGCTTACGGTTTAAGTTCAACTTTTCTGGAAAACGTTTTCAGAGAATAGCATAATTACAGAATTTTTCTTTCTTTTCTATGATTATTCTCAACACATAAGGCAAAAAGTTCCAATAAAGCGCGTCACTTTGAAGTTTTTAATTATGCAGTGTTTGGGTTTAAGTAATTTCATAATTATTATTCCCTTTGTTGATGAATTTCTTTGTCGTTGCTTTTGACATTTGACAATTGACCATATGTAAATTATGGGTTAGTCAGTTTATAATATTGGATAGCCAAATTGGGTTTTTTTAGGACAAGATAAAAATTAATTATGTATTTATAAAAAAAAATTACATATGATAAAACTTGAATGTCATATTTATTAGGTGTTATGTCTTAAATGATTATATAAATTAATTAAGTTAAATTTAGAGGATTTAGGTTTATTACTTTTTGAATAACTTGGATGTTATTATGTTTGGGGTTAGAGTAATCATCCTTCCAAACGAGCCTTAAAAGTTCAAAATTTTCAGTGAAAATTAATTCTTTAAATGAATACTATTTCAAACCCTTTTATGTATCTAATTAGCAAGCATCCTTTTATATCGATTGTAGGAAAAGAGAAAATAGCATACTATAAAACCATTAAAACTCAGGCTGGATATCATTACAAATTTGAACATTTTTGTAATGAAGAATGAATTTAGAGGCAACTAATCATGTGATGTTCTTACATTGGAAAGAACATTAATGCTATGTTATAAGAATCTCAATGCTCCAAACAGCCTGTGACAGACAGTAGAACATTAAATTATTGATTATTTTGTCTGTTTCTTTTTGTAATAACATCAACGTCCTAAACTAAATGTTTGGGTCTTATACTGCTTGATCTTCTTACTGATCCAACACCAACAAACTCCATCAAATCGTATATTACATAGTCACAGCCTCGTAGGAGTTTGATCAAGTATTTGTATTTGACCACACCCTCGAATTGTTCCCGACTCTCAAATTCCAAAGAAAAATGTTTAAATAATTAATGAAACATCAATGTGTTTCTGATCCTCGAGAAGAGCGTGCAGATACGCGCTATATGAAAAGTGTGAGCTTTTTTTGAAGTGTTTGAGAGATGTCATCAAAAGGGGATGTTAACCTTTTCTCTCTATAAATCCAAGTAGGCTAGGGTTTTTTCAAGGTGAATAAAAATATGGGCTTGAGTTTTTCCGTCAGGATTTTCTCTCTCTCTTCCTTTTTCTCTTTTTTTCTCAAATTTTCTATCTTGGAGTGTTGATTGTTGAAGAAAGCTTTCCCGGGTTTTATCTGTTTTAAGCAAGAAAGTTGATGGAAAGGGGTTGTATTTGAGAGGAATGTTGGCTGGATTGATCAAAGTGAATTGTATCGGACCAGGCATTGTTCCCCTCAAACATTTTTGTTTTACGGCTCTTGTTCTGAGGAGAAAAGGAGAAACGGTTGATGGGAATGTTGTTTGGCTCGAGGTTATCTAGGTTGATCTTTGTATTTCCATGAAATTTTCTCGGATTTACTTTTCCCGGAAGGTTTCTGGGTACAAATATAGCCCTACATGATCTCGGACCAGGCTTCATTCCCGTCAACCAAACACTTCCTCTGATCTGTTTCTGTCCAAGTCATGAGATGTTTTGTTCAGGCAATGTTTATGGAAAAATGGTAATTAATTTCTCTGTCTCTGTCTCTGTCTCGAGTCTTTTAGAGTTTCTCTTCTTCTCTGAGCTTCAAGTTTTTGCATGGAATCCTTTTGACCCACTTGTCAAAAATGCTAACAAACAAAGATCAGAAGATGCCATTGACTTATTTTTTCTTCCTCTTTTTGTGTTGACCATGTTTGTTTTCCATTTTTCATGATGGATTCTCTCTCCAAGTCCCAGATACAACAACACACACAAATCCATGGTCTTAACACTTATTTGTATATAATAATTTCTCTTTCCCAATTAGACTAAAAAAAACTCCATTTTACAAGGGATCAAAAAATTTTTTAGTAGGAGACAAGCTAAAAGGGGTACTTTAAAAACGTCAGTCTAAGGTTTTAAGGCATCTAGAAATTTTGAACATCATTGATCTATACCCTCGTTGCCTATAGCACACATCTGTCCAAAACTTCACCCTCACAGTCACATGTATGTGTCTATGCATGCATGTTTATTTGTATGTATGCTATTTTTATTATACATACATCCATATATATATATATATGTTATATGTGCATGACATATATCACATAATTTGCTTTTTGTATCAAGGCTGAATCTGGTGAAATTGCTGTTAACTCATGAAAGCGATGAGGCTTTAACTCCAATGTGAAATGTATGTGATATTGGGTCTGGGTTTTTATATATATTGGATGATAAAATAATGTTAATTATTGAGGTGCATTCTGTTTTTCTTTATCTGATATTCTAATAACCGTTCAATTTTTTTAAAAAATTTTTTGCCCTTTTTTCCACCATTGAATGTACCTGTTGGTATGATTTTGAACTGAGCAGGAAAATGTAACTGATGCATTTAATTAATTTCATTTGTATAGGAATGCATACTCAAGTCAAGATACTGAAAGCTGATATATAAAAAGAAAAAGCTGGTAGAGAACTGAATCATCTGCATATTTTGGAATATATATAAGCATAGAAGTCAATATATATAGCTTGGTGCTTTATTCTTTCTATTTCATTTGATCTTCCTTACATTTTAGTGATTAAGAAAAACTTGAAATGGCAACACGCATTTATTTCAACTACTATTAAATTCATTGGGAGGAATCAATGTTAGATCAAATATAATCAGTGTGTTGTCAAATGCTGATTAATAAAGTGAAGGTCGAAGCTCTTAGTACACTGCCTCGCCTTCCTTTTTTTTTTTTTTTTTTTGAAGTTGAAATATTAAGCTAGAATACCGTAAAAGCTACGAGCTTGTTTGATTCTGACTGTGCTTCTTGTTAACAGATGGAATCCAAGAGGGAGAAGAAAGAGACAGTCCATGAAGTTTCATTCCCTTTTTCTTTTTCTTTATTTTTCATTGAATTACTGTTGTTTATTTTAATTCAAGGGTTAAAGACATCTTTGATTTAACTTCACTGGCAAGATCAAGCATTTCAGGCATTCTAAAGAAAAGAAGCCTGGGACTCGGCTCCGATGATTCTCTCACCCTCGCTAGGCAGTGGTCGACCGGGAGGGATACACGACGAGTGAAACGGAGCTCTTGCAACCGCCTTGGGGCCTGTCTAGTGCCGGCCTCAAAAGATTGGCTAGAAAGAGAAGAAAAGAAGAGAATAATTGTTCTCAATTTTAAAATTTCCTGATAGTAAAATGTTTTGCTGCAAAAGTTTTAAAATCCTGCCTGTCAGAACATGCTGCATATTTTCAAGATGTAATTCTAAGTTATTAGAAGCAAAATGCATAGTCAAAGTAGAGTGCATGCACTGAGGAAAGCAATCATGGTAGGTTGCATGTAAATGCAAAATATTAAGAGCCTATACAGAACAACATTAACCACAGAAATATCAGAAAAAAAAAAAAACAAAACTTTATTGCACCTATTAGAAATGCTGAATATAAAATCACTATCCAACCAGTACATGAGGTGCAGATAGTGAAAACTCTATAATAAATGACTGTAAAATGAATTATGTCAAGGTGAGCCAAAATGTACAACAGAAGGAAACAGAAATGAAAAATATGAAGCAAAACAGATAAATATATACAGTTTTCACTCATGGTAGTTCGGGGAAAACTTTTTGTTGCAAGAAACCGATAAAACGTCTAGCATACAGCTCGGGTTCAACAGCAGATATTGACAAGGGGTCATATTTCACTGATTTGCATGCATTCTCCGCCTTTTTCTTTGCATTGTATTCCTGTAAAATATCAATTATTCCCATATAGAGAACCACATCATAAACTTCAAAAAGTTCAACTTCAGCTGAATCTGTTTCATCCCGGTAAAGCTTGTGATTAGCCTGCGCTGGCATGTTTACTCCTAATTGCACCCGTAACCTGAATAAAATTGTGGTTCCAGATGAACAAAATGCCTCTCAATAATTGTTTTACAATGAAAAACCTCCATATTCTGAAATATTTGATGTGGCAAAAAAAAAAAAAAAGGTGTCACGGTGCAGTTGAAGGACAGAGCAAAGGGCATCAGCAGATATTAACTGAACTATTGACTCGTCGAGAAAAAGACTTCATCAAGAACAAAATGGAAGATGGGGACAGAATTTTGACATTTCCAAATCTACTTTTGACAAATACAAAACCCTTCTTCATTTGGATCTAGACAAACCGTACAAGCAGGCTATACACCTTTCTTACTTTTGAAGGTCCATATCTTTTGTAGCAGTTAAAACACATTCTTTGTCCCGAAGATGATATGTTCTATGATGATGCCGACATAACTCAGTCTAGAAACATGCAAGCTTATAAAAATATCAGGGTTGTTAACTAATTGGCAAAGAGCCAAAGCTGAAGATAATCAACAAGTATCGGGGTGATAGCTTTTGTATAACATATGAGACAATTTCAATTCTATGTCCAAAAAGAATTGAGAATGAAAGCAGCTACCTTCCAGTACCGGGTACCAAAACATCAACTTCCTTGTCACCGAGAGAGTAAGCTCTTAATGCCTTTCCTCTAATGTGAGGACCTGGTTCAGTGTTAACAGAGCTTGGTTCATGGGCCACCAGCAGCAAGCCTTTTGAAGGAAATAACAGTTCTTCTGTGATCATACCTAGTGGAAGCAAAACATAAGTTGCATGCTTTTCAATAAATTAACAATATGAAAACAAAGGAAAGATCAGAAAGTAGCCACTAAAAAGAAAGATAAAAAGTTTCAAGTAAAAAGTTTTATTGGAAGTGCACACCCACTAAACATGAACACCCAAATCAATTAAAGGATTCAAGCATTCTTTCCGAGTCGCCAAGAGACAGAAGAGCTTATTTCAAGCATTCCCCTTGAGGCAGGAAAACTCCTTAATCATTTAACTAGGTATGAGAACACCTCCCTAGTAGAAATTCTTCCATTCTTCTTAATTAAGTTGATTTGAGAACATCTGCTGCTGATTTCAATAGCCAAGTCAAGCCTTCCAACAGGCAAGACAGATGCCAATTCTACATCTGCCAACTCCCTCAACAAAAGTTATCTCAAGAGTCCAGAAGGGAGATCACATTCTTGTATTATCATGCATTCTTTGTCTCTCTTGGATTAGCTCCAGGTCACTCTTCAACAAGTTTACCAATCCTCAGTTTGTGTATCATATGTACCTGCATATCCTTGTGCTACGATTTGGTGGTGACAAAGAAGCTTAAGATGAATACAAATAATGTGACAACTATTGTATCTCATTTTCTAAGTCATCCACACCCAAGTCTTGCACCAACAAACGGTTTAATCATAACCACATCAATTTCCAATAATAATCAAAAGCATCTGATGAGAGAGGAACTCTAATATTGTGTAAATTTTCTTCCAGGGTGCACCTGGGCTCAGGTTCAAGTGCTAGAGGGCCAAATCTAGGAAAAGGACCAGGACAACTACTGTGGGTCGTGACCAGACTGTGACATTTCATTCTATTCCCACTCCCAAGTTATTTTACTCTTGAGGAGAAACTACTCCCTTCCCACCTTATTCCCACTCCATCACAGAAACCAAGAATCTATAACATACAAGCAAATTAATAACATAAAATGGTCAAATTGGAAAGAGACACCTACCGTGGCTGGTAGGTGAGCTCTCAATATTGGGCATCATGTTGGGAGGTTCTAGGAGGCCGTTTAGTTGCTTGGGAGCTCTAAAATGTAAACCCAATAGAAGGCTATAATCAATTATCTGTTGAGATTTCAAGAACTTGCAGTCCACATCAATTTGGCTGCAATGCGAATAACAAGAACACTAATTGTTAGAAATCAAGCAGACATATAGTTATAGTCATGACATATTTATATGCTTTCGGGTACACATAATAAGTTTTTGGTTTTCGTAAGTGAAAAATGCTAAAAAGCACCAATGTAAGTGATTAATACCTTAGCACAAGGGAGTAAAGGGGGAAAAAGTTTGCAGCAAAACAATCTAACTTCTCCTATAATCTAAACATCAACAAATTCCAAAAGCAAAGCAGAAAATTGAGGATACAAGGGCAGTCGTGAAAACATAGTTCTTATAAAACATGTGACAGAACATTATGCTTCCCTTTCCATTAAATCTAAAACACCAGTTCCAGCATTAGTAAGTTATCAGGGCTATGCGAAATGGTCACCTTTTGTAACTACATGCAGACACAAGGTTTGGCTTCTCACTCCAGCTGTATCCTCAAATTGGAATAGGACACTTCATCTATGGGTTTTGCAGAATAAGGCCATATGGAAGCTTATACTCATCAAATGTGCAAAAAAAGAAAAAGCATCAGAAAGTGATTTTATTTAACTATAGATGGGCCCGCTGCAAGCTTCTGGTTGCAACTGGGACCATTCTTGTCCAATACTTGACTTCACTAGACAAGAGTAGTGGACATGTATGATGATTTAGATGCCACAAGCTATATCTGATTAAGATTGAACACCTAGCTTTAATTTTTTAACCTTTAAATAACCAATACAGAAGGAAACAAATCCAGCAGGAAAGTTAAACACGATTTGAATTTATTTTCAAATATAGATGACACTGATACATGGAGAACAGCTGCCACCTGCTGTTTAGCTTTGAACCTTGCAGTTTGGAACAACTTAGAAAATGAGTCTACTTAGATTGCAATGCACAAGTGATGTTACAGAGGATGAAGATGAGGAACTTACTAAAAAAGGAATTTCCGCAATGATTTGTCCATATGAAACTCATATGACAGATCAAGATCCTTCAATGTAGTATTTTCATGAATTTTATCTTTCTCTGTATATCTTCCATGAGTTGATCCCTTTAGATCATAACGATGATGAATTCGCAGTTCTGTGCAAAACATATTCCCCATAACCATGAAGCGCACCTAGAAGCAGAAAACTAATCATAAGCTAGGCGCATCGCTGTATGTAAACAAAGTCAGATGGATAACAAGTACCTTTCTTCTGCCTGCTAAAGTTATCCGGTGGAGCCCAAAAAATTTTGTTATGAGAGTATTTTCATATTCTTTTACATGATTGTAGTAGTTAGGCAGCATCTTGAGTAAAACCTACATAGAAGAAAACTACTTATATAACATAGAGGGCATCCTTCTTCGTCTAGGGGTACAGGCCCACTGTAAGAAAAATCATCATGAAATCCTCTGATACATGCATATTAAATAGTTCAAAAAGAAAGGGTACAATTAATAAATTCACAAATAAACTAAATTTGAAGGAAATTAGACAATGAAATATGTGTACCTAGCAAATTTGACTAGAAAAAGGATATTAAGGGTTGGAGTGGGAGGCTTTCTTGAAAGAGAGAAAGGAGGGAGTGGTCAGTGGAGAGAGTGAACTGCCTCATTTAAAGTCGGTACAAAACACCAATAATGTTATTAAACACAGCTTGGCGAAACTTCAGCCAACAATTCAACATAGATCACTTGTTTTGCAAAGCATTTTCTCTAGAGCTATGTTCTATGTATCATTTCAAATGCCTTCTGCGCCCTTAATTGTCATCTCTTTGTCCATGTAACAATTACAATGGTACCAGCTAAGGAAACTTCTAATGCAGATTTTCTTCATTCACCCAAGGGAAACTACCAACTCTACCATGCAAAAACCAACATTAGATATAAATATCGGTGCATGTCGACAGCATTAGCCATTTATTCCAGGTCCAGTGCAGGGCCTAGATCCCCATTAATATGCCCATCAGACAATGGAGACATAAGAATTAGCTTTTTCAAGTGCAGCTGTTTGTGTGTGTTTTGAAAGGTTGCATTAAAAGTTCATTAATTTTTGCAACAAATCATCTTATCAGAACTGAGTTGAGTTTTTCTAGTTAAGTAAACAAAAAAAAAATGATGTCCTGGTCCAAGCTCAAGCAATTCTATAGGAAATGAGTTTATAGCTGAGACAGTGTCCATCCTAATATTAGTAAACTCTTTAATGCAGTCATATCGTGATTATAAACATGAACAAACGCAAACTACATAATATTAATACAAAAGAATAAAAGTGAAAAAGACAATGGTTTTAACTTTTAAACTTGTGTCACAAAATGGCAGATCCTCATTGAAATCAGCCAAGTGCTAAGATTTCCTTCCCCATCCATGTTTTAGTTGATATGTAATTGGATAAAACATGCTTGAAATTTGAAAATATAAATATAACAATGAGTAGATAATATGCATGAAAAACTATATAGGTACAAACCTTGAGTTCAGATCTTTTCAATGTCTTGATCACAAATTTATCATCATGAGATAGATAGAAGATACTGCCACTTTTCCCTGGAGAAGATATTTCTGTCAGACCATCATCACCACAAATGGACATCATGTACTCTGCTGCATCTAGCTTGAACATCTCCCTCAGATTCCTTGACATAGTGCGACAAATATGCATAATGTATAAGATCATAATTTCACTCTTTTTGCAGATGACTAGAGTTTAAACAATTCAGATTGCTCCTTATATATATCTCCATCAATAAGATTCAATCATCAGAGGCTTGATGACAATCTTTCTTCACAAGTCTAACAAGAACAATATGCATAAGATTTTAATACCTGAAAACCATAGGACAATAATCCTTCCAGTAGAAATCAATAGATTTGTGCAGAGGTGTAAACTGTGAACCCCTTCTAGGGAAAAACATAGTAATTCTAGCTCGATCTCCAAAATCAGCATTTCGAACCTCACGCTTAGGCACTGGTGTTATCTTGCCAACAGTATACCTGTGAACTTCAAATCAAGCATTTCATAACATGTAACAAAGCCAAATATGTGTGTGTGTGTGTGTGTGTACTCTGAGAAAATATTTAAAAAAGACATGCCAGAAAAAAAATTTGATGAAGTCAAGCCCCAATATAGGTAAAATTGGACTGATATCCCATTAAGATGACTTGATGAGTTAGAAATATTGCAGAAATGGAAGGAATTTCAATCTCAATCAGTTTTACCTTATACCAAGTTGCAAATTAAGCATCAAATGATAGCTATTTTTGCCCCTGAAAATGCCAACACATGAACTCTTTTTTGTTTCTTTGGCATGACTTCTAGTTCGTTTTTCATCTTTCTTTGATAATTCAGTGCAATTTCTTATTCTCTCTTTAATCATAACTCCTTGCATGTATTCTCTCTCGTAAACTACAGCAGTATTTTCTTGCACCTCACTTTGACCAGCATCAGAATCAAGGGAGAATGTGCCCGAGGAGTTATAGCGTATAAATTCTCTACCAGAATCAGAAAGTCTTGAATTTTCAGCAGTCTTGTGTGACATTCGACCTGAACTTCTTAGAACTCCACTTATAGAGATCTTCTCAGAAAGACTACGCTTAACACTTGGTTTCTTAACCACGAATTCCTCCAAATTTAGTGACGAACATTGAGATGACACACTTTTATGACCATTCTTATATCCCAGAGAGATAGAACACTTCTTTAGAGAGGGACATTTACTTCCAGCAGGATAGAATGTTCCTTTCCCATCCTTAAGACCCCTGATCCATGTTCCAAAATAATATCCCCCATCAGCATACTGATAAATTCCACAACCATGTCTGAGGCCATTTAACCAACATCCATTGTACTGATCACCATTTACCCATTCCATAACACCCCTACCATGCATTTTTCCACGTTTCCAATTCCCAGTATATTTGTTTCCATTATTCCAAAAATATCTACCCTTACCTTCATGTACTCCTTCCTTCCATTCTCCTTCATAAACATCTGAATTAGAATACTTCTTTCTCCCAAATCCATGTCGTATATTCATCCTCCATTGCCCTTCGTAAATGGATCCATCAGGTGCTGTAAACGCACCAAAACCATGAAGGTAACCCCCCGAGATATCACCATTGTATTTGGCTCCCGATGGCCAATGTAATAGTCCTTTACCTGTCATTTTCCCTGCTTCCCAATCACCCTCATATACTGTTCCATCTGACCATGTATACTTTCCCTTGCTGTGGGGAAGAATTTCCTTAAAATCACCAACATATAAATCTCCATTTGAGAAGGCCTTCTCATTGAGCCTGCAAGAACAAAAATTAACTATAAGAAAACATGATCTGATACATGTGGTGCTGAAGAGCATATAATACCTTTCGACATTCTCCACGTTGACGCATGATACAGGATCGAGCTGTTCGGTACTGGTTCCAGAACCTTCATCAAAGAGATTCTTTAAGCGAGTCATTCAAGCAATCTGGTAGATTGGCACCTTACTTTTAACTTTTGAATCTGATAATGCAGTTCATTTACCCCAGTTAAAGTTAAAATATCAACATTGAAAAGAAATGACAGTAAAGCAGTAATTTTTCTTTTTCGCCCATTTTCTCCATGATAACAAGGAAATATAAAAATTTTACTTGTTTGCCACTTCTATCACTCTCTATATTCAGATAGCTGTTAATAAAGAACATCACAAACTGGTTATCAAAATCACAATTTTTGGGCAGAAACTCCCGAGATTTAGTCATGAATTGAATCAAAACAAAGATTCAGAGTCAAATTTTTATCACTACTGAGCACCGAAAACTCTTTTATTTCAAACAAAACTATGATCATTGCCTCTTCTTTCACTATTTCTCTTTTCCCACAAACTAAGAAAATTTATAAACTGAATCTCAAATTTTGATATTATACATCTGAAACTTAATTTGAGCAAGGAAAAAACAAGAATAAACTTACCTGTAACAGATAATAGAATCAGCTCCTTCTCCTGACTGAACAGTTTGATATCAACAAAAAATTGAATGAAAACAAGAATAGGAAAAACCCAAGAATTTATACACCATAAAAATTAAAGGGCAAAAAAAAAAGAAAAATCTAAATGATTATACATGGTTCTTGTCAAAAATTTCCAACAGCTGAATCTGCCATAAAAATCTCTTCTTCTTGAATTGACACTTCACCCCACACTTTGTGGATTATGGGAATCTCTTTTTCATTTACAAATGGTTATAAATTTAGAGTATGGCATCATCAAAGTTCTTTTCACACCACCTTTTTTTTCAACAATTTTGTTTTTACACAAAATGGTTTGTCCTTCTGTTGTCGTAAACTGAAAAGCAAAGTAACTAAAAAGACAAGAGAAAGATGAACATATCTTGGCCACGTGTCGCTTAGGAAAAAGTTGTTGGGTTGGGTCCCTGTCTTGTAATTTGATCCCGAAGATCAATCAGGTGGGTTGCATGCGATTTGTGGCAGTGATTGGTTGGCAAAGGAAGAGTGTACCTGCGTTGTAGAAGATCTTTTCGGACAGCCTTGGTGCCAACTGCCAAGGACTACGGGGGAAGTGGCAGATGGTGTGGTTTTCTTCTTTGTACATAGTACAGCTCAGATGACGTGAATGATTCACTTTGTTTTAACACATGGGGGCAGATTGGACCTTTTGCTTTAACAATAATTCCAATTTATGTGGCTTTAATTACACCACTCAAATTCATCTTCACACTTCAACATTTTTTTTTTTAGAAAAATCTTTATATATAAAATATTAATTTTATCTTTTAATAAATTATAATTTTATCTTCTTTATATTAATATTTGAGGATTTTCGATAATATTTTAAAATTCTTCAAAATCTATTTTTCATAAGCTTTCAACGTTTAAGCATTTCCAAGAAGCATAATTCCACATAAAAATTTTACACCCCATTCAATGTTTAAGATTCTTGAATATTCATTTCCAGAGCCTTTTAAAATTCTCAAAAATTAATTTTTAACAAGCATGATTTTGACAAAAAAATTTTGTAAAAATCTTAACTTTCGTAAAATTTCAATCAAATTAATGAATAAAAATCTCAAAATTTTTCCTGTAATGAATGGATTATTAAAAATACTTATGATATAGGAGTTGATTTTATGATTTTAGGATTAAATTTGGATTGAATTTAGATTTACAGTGAGAGATTGAAGAAGAGAGTAAAAAATGACTGACCGAAAATATAATATTGTTAGGATGAGATGTATTTAAAAGAAAAATTATATTTTAAAAGTGTAGTATATCTAATAATGAGGTGCAAAGAGTGTTTTGGGGGGGGTGTAGATAGAATTTTCTTTCAATTTCCAGAGCTGACATGTGTTTGAATTTCTTTTTTTTTTTTTTTAATTCAAAGCTATATATTTAAAATTGAAGGCCAAGAATGAAGAAAGCTAAAGTGATTTTTTTCCATATCAATTGCAAGATCCAAAATCTAATAGCTTGAAACAATGGATGAATTTGATCTAAGTATACATTGAAATCAGAAGTCGGAACATAAAGCTTCAGCTTAAATACATGAATGAGAACTCTACTCAACCCAATTATATAAAAAAGATCATTGCCTTGATCCTACCTTCTTTACCCTACCAAGCGGAGGAAAATCATCTTTTCCACAGAGGAAGGAATCATTCTTCGTAGTTTTCGCGGTTTCTTCTGGTTTATCCTTGGCAAATTGGCCATTTCGATGCTGGTTTTGTTGAACTATTGACTTAACAAAAGAAGAATAAACAACTGGCCTTTGAGAATGGCCTTGTGGAGTTGATTTTGCTAAGGGAGAAACGATCAGTGGTTTTATTCCTAACAACTCAGGATCTGATGAAAACTTGTATGGAACTTTACTATCATCCATTCTCCTGAATGTAATGGATATCCTGCATAGGAATAAGCAGAATGAAATAAATGAGTAATTGAATATCCAACTATCCGAGATTAAATATTTTACAAATTAATCAGAAGGTATCGAATTAAGATACCTTTTCCCCGGAACAGCTGGGACACAGTGCTTAGCAATGTCGGCTCCATTACCATTTAGAATGAGCACAGATCTGCATAGCCAGTACCAGCTCAGAAGCATAAATAAAAATGAAGATTATCATGTATAACAAGTAACAAAAAGGCATTTTTATCAAAAGAAATCTCCAACATCAGCATATATATGCTCCAATTTTCATATCAAAGATTCAAATAAGGTATAGATACAGGCAAACGTACCCAACAGGCAAAGGTATAGATACAGGTCCCGAGAACTCTCCTGGTCTCACAATCTTCAAACTTGAACCAAAAAGAATATTGCACTCAGTCAAGAAAGACACGGTGCAAAAGGGTCGAACAAAGTCATGGTGGTCAATGTGTGGAGGAATGCAATCCCCTTCATCATAAATGTTTACAATGCAACTGTTGGGAACACACGTTGGAGGCAAAATATGCCACCTCACCATCCTCTTGATCATTTGCTTGAACAATGGAGGCAAAGGATCAACTTCTTCATCTCTAATGATACCTGGTGGATTCCCATTTTTATCCTGTAATGGTACAAAATTTAATATGAAATTGATTGGGAGGAAAAGGCAAAAAGCAGAAAGAAAAAAAAATATAATAAGAATTTAAATTTACCACTGCATAGTTGTAACAACAGCCAAATTGTATTGTAACACGACCTTTACCACGCATCCATTTCCTGGGCTCTGAGTATGTACGTTCTATAAACATTCAAATGAAAAGGTATAAAATATTAGTACAAGCAATCCTATTATTCATGCTTATTCTTAAATATATTCAAGAGATTACGTTCTATAAACATTCAAATGAAAAGGTATAACATATTAGTACAAGCAATCCTATTTTTCATGCTTATTCTTAAATACATTCAAGAGATTACATGCATGCCATTTGAGTGAATCTAAGGAAACCATATAAAACAATCCAATCTAGACAACTTCACTGCCAGTATTGAAAATACCTCCCTACTAAAGTTCTGACCTAACAGTTAAATTTTGAAGGTAATGCACCAACAAATTTTGTTGAGTGTGGAGCTGTTGTTACTGTTATTTTGTCTAACCATTTCAATTTGTTAATAAGGCTGTGACCACAGCCAAATTGTGCAGGAAAATCACCATTGTGTTTATTGTAGGTCGTTATTATGGTGAAGTAACAGGGATATTAGCCTCTTCCTCACTCACACATGGTCTACTTCATGAGATTAGGCTAATTTCACCATTCTTTGGAAAGAACAAGCTTTCTCCCAGACATAACTTGGCATTTAATTTTCGCTGAAAGAACACTATATAGGCAAGCAATGTCGACCTTGAGTCAATTAATGAATCAAGTGAAATTCTAAAGCTCATTATCAAGAAGGTTAAGTTTTGTATAGCCATACCTCTAAGTTGCCCCTTTTGGCCCATACGTTGTAGATTATAAACACATTCCACAATTTTCTTCCGCTCTTCAGCATTGAAGACCTCAGTATGAAGCTCAAGCCCTTTAAGCACATTCGTTGATTTCCCATTGATCTTCTCCATGTGAACAAAATCCTTTTTCCTGCCAACTTGCAAAAACCTGATCTGCTCCTTTTGCTCCTCCGATAATCCATTGTCAGTCACAAAAGAAGTTCCACCAAGTCCATCGTTAAGGAGTATATCAGAATTCATGTGGTTACGAGCAAGCTGTTTGCTGCTCTCTGAATTAGGTGTTAAAATAGTATTGAAGGCCACAGTGGATTGTTGGCAAGGCAACTTGATAATGGGTTCTGAACCATTCTCCGATGGACACAAACCAGATACATCCTTAGCTGAGCAAACTGTCAAACCTTGTTTCGAGTCATATAACAAAGATGTTTCGCTCACTCTCTCTGGAAGGAAATATTGACATAACATAACACATCAGAATAAATTGCTTTAAACGTTTTCTAGTAACATACATGGAAGCAAAATCTGATAAAAGCTTAATAAATTTTTCAAAGAAAAGGAAAACTCCATCAGTGCCTATCAAACCAAACCGTGAACAATTTCAGAATTAAAAGGAAAAAAAAGACGTTAAAAAGCAAAAACCCCATAACTTATAAACAGAAAAAAGAAGTGAAATTCAAGACAGGGTGAGAGAGTATCTTACTATTCAAGATATCATGAATCCGTTTCTCCAAAAGAGCTTCACAGTGTTGGCAAAACCCTTGAGAGAAAACCTCAAAAAGCTCGTCTCGATTCAATGTCTTAAGCAGCCCAATGATGCCTTCGCCGGTGCTGGATTCAGGCAACTTTCCAGGGAAATCTCCGTCCATCAATACCACTTAATTCCACGTAAAAAAATACATGTAAGAGAAGGCTTTTCAAAGCTTTTATATGGACAATATGTCGCAAGCCTGCTAGATTGCGTTTCAGTTTCAAAGTAGGGAAACGAATCCGCCTGTTCCTCGGAAAAGTTTAAAAAAAAAAACACTTTCTTTTACAGCTAAATTAAGTTACTAAAGTTACTTTTTTACTAGCAGTAATAATACTTTTTACTTTTCATCTATCCATAGAAAAGAAGGAAACGGCGCCTTTTAAATGATACAGGCGAACAGCTAATAGTGCCGTTTATGTCTTCCCCTCTTCGGCTCTCTCTCGCCTGCAGTCTCTCTTGATTCTGGTTTTACCATATCTCCGACGAACTGAAACAGGTACGTTTCAACCATCTCCAGCTGTAGAGAATGTTTACCTTAACCTCCACCCGCAGTATTTTTCGATTTGGTTTTACTTTTGTCCACGAATTTGCTCTGAAAAAGATTTTTTTTTTCACGATTTAATATGAATATTCTTGTCCACATCAGCCAAATAAAATTGATTTTCTTTTAAATATTTGGTGGGATTATTTGGGTTTGAATTTTTTTAAAATTGTTCCTCAATATATCGTGGCATCAAGAGTAATGCAGATTTGGTGTTTGTTTAAATGTCATAATACAGATTGTTGAATATTTTTGCTGAAAAAAATGCACCCTCCTCTGACGTTACACAGGCATCCAATGTGTGCCAAAGTAAGTGTAATCTTCTTGGTGAATCTAAAATTTCGATTCTTTGTTATTGAATAATCATGGGTTTTTATCAATAATGCCTTTTGGCAGATCATCGAGGAGTTCCAAAAGTGTCATTTGGACCATCCCATAGCCAAATTCTTCGGTGAATGTACAGAATTAAAGATAAAGCTCGATCGCTGTTTCCGACAGGAAGTGAGTTGTTCTGAATTCTGGTGTTTGTTTCTTGTCAGAAAATAGTATCGTTTTTGTGACTGTGTCTGAAGTACACTACTTTGTCTGCAGAAAGCTCTGAAGAGGAAGGCCAACTTTGAGCAGAGTAAGAAACTGAGAGAAAGACTTCAGGCATTAAGGAAGGAAACTGCTGAAAACAATTCCTGAAAGTGAATTACGATGCTTTGGTGAGGCCACAAGCATTGCTGCAACAAAAATTTTACTTCAGTTATTTTGTTTAATTGTTTTCAACATGTATTTTATGTGATGAATAATCAACAAGATTATTGTTCCTTCTTGATTGATGTGAATGTCCCAAGCAATTGGCTTGGTTTAACAGTGACTGAATCAATTTGCTTGAAATAGCTTTATATAGAATAAATATAAATCACAACCAAGCACACTGCTGGCTACATACATCATACAAATATGAAACTTCCATTAGTTCAAGCTTTTTTGTCTAGTTCTTGTTATCAGATTTATTTTTGCTTCTGATGCTTCAAGTCCTTGATAAAAGTCTTATCTTCTTCTTTGGACTAAGGGTTGCTGTGGTATATTATAAGGCTTTTCCTGCTGTCGAAATCCTTGATGAAGTGCTTCATTTTCTTCTCAGAATCCCAAGCTGAAGCTGGATCTTCATGTAGAAGTCCTTTGATTGCTTCTGGCATGGGTTGATCTTTCATTATACTTTTCCAATAATCTCCTGCTTCTTTTCTTGCATGGTTGAGGTTGGCAGACTATCCAAGAATAGATCAAAGTGTATAAACATAGATACTTATAGTCATGAAAAATAAAAATAACTGAATGAAAACTAAGATTTAAGGATTATTTTGAAGAACTTGATAGAAGTATACAGAAAAAGGTTTTCAATAGATCAATAGATCAATAGCTGCTCTAAAGATTACATGAGAAGTAATGCTTACCAGGACAAGAAAGCAAAAAATGAAGAAAACAAAGGAAGTCTTCATGTCTTTGGTAGCCTGTTGAAACACAGTTAGAATTTGCTGTTTTGTTTTGTAGTCTGCTCAAGACTGACTGACCATTTATAGGCCACTTGCAAAGGACAAGAAAGTGATTATCGACGAAACAATTAAACAAATAATATTTTAATTTAATTAAGCTCTGCATAATATAATATTATTAAATTTGCTATGATCTCGGTAAGGATCCTTTAGGTATATACCATGGAGCCTAATGTTTCAGAGTCCAATGGCAACTTTTTCAGTAGTTCACCACTCCTAGACATGACAAAGACAATGAGATTGAATCAGCTTGGATCCCATGAAAGGAGATAATTAAATGGTTTTTCCAATTTCTGTCACTTTGGTGGTAGACAATATTCCCACACGTTTTAATGGCAGCATAGTTGAGATTTTTTAAACAATATCATTGAGATTTGTTTATAGAATACTTGATTTTTCTGGGTGGGAGCTGAACTAATAAAACTACAGTAATGACAGACCTTTCGACTCTTACAACTTTTCAGAACTTTTCACAGACAAGCTGATGAGATATTGAAACCTCGCTTTTCTCCAATTCAATCAGTTTATAGTGAATCTCCTCACCATTACCTAAAGGAAGAAAAAACTAATACCAGAATTGGAGTCTCATTTGTCACCAATTGTACTTATGTTTTCAAGCCCGTTGATTAGATTAAATGTACTTATGTTTTCAAGTCAGTACTACTTACAAAGTACTGAATCTATGCTCTAAGAGCAAACAGTGCTTGCTCACTTTATGGAAAAGATAGGATTTTGAAATGGTTTTCTTGGTGGAACATTATCCTGTCATTCTCCAATCACCTTTTTCTGGTGCTGCCATTTAGTGTGATGATGTAACAAACACTAATTTAGGGAAGTTATTAAGAGCAGTAATCTTTTAGTGTTTCGTTGACCTAATCATTTCTTCAACATCTTATGTCTAATGCTTGGCGATGAAGGTTTGGCCTCTGATGAACAGTTGATGTGAGGTCCTTGTCATACACAGTTGCTAGCAACAGCTCAAGTCATTTTCATCATCATCAGTTGTTTAATATGAGATTATACTATATGTAGAGAACAAAGTCAGGATCATTTAGTCTTGAGTTGACTCTCAGAGGAAGATACCTAGCTGATAAGAATCAAACAAGGAAAAATGAAAAAAAAAAAAAAGTAAAAGGAAAATATGAAGATTAATTACAGGTTCCAGACTTCCAGTGCAATAATCTTCAAAAAAAAATTTAAAAACAAGGTCTGGGGAGAAGAAAATCATTTTGGATTGATACGATGCAAAGTCGTGCCTACATACCATGAGAAAGTTCAATGCTAAAAAATTTTGGGGTGAAAGTTGACCTCTCATAATAAAAGAAATTGTTTGAATGCCACCTTAATTCCTCATAAATTGAGAAACACTACCTTTATTCATTTAATACCTATCAACATGTCAAACTTAGCCAACCCTTACATTTTTTAACAGTATTTTCCAAATATATTCATCAGTTTGGTGAATATAATAGTGTTGAAACTCAAAGATCTGAACATCTTTATTAGTGATTTGTTATTTTTTTATCTTGAAGATTGGTCTATCTATGTTCTCATATACCTTTGCATGATCCTATTGTTGATTATCAGCTGACCAACAACACAAAATAAACAATAAAGTTGAGTGCAGTGGGAAGTGGCTGAGACTGTGAGAGAAAGATTGAAAATGGACAAATTTTGAAAGAGGTTAGATAGACTCTAAGACCCCCACAACTCTAGGTTGGCTCTTTCCAGGCCTAAAGTCAACTTGATACACAATTGTCAGTTGTGTAGTACTTTTTTTTTTGTTTGTTTCCATTTGTTCATGCACAGCATATTTCTTTTTCGCATATAGTTTTGGTCTAATCCTTACATTTTTAATATGGTTCTTATGCTGTGATTTGGTGGGCACATGATCACTGCCTTGGCCTGATATGTCAAAGTCAACTTCATTTTGCATATCAAACACGTGAGCTAGTTGCGTTTCACATTTTTCTTTCTTTCTATTTTTCTTAATTGCTCTGCTTAAATGATTGAAAATAACCCATTTCTAATTTGGTGCTTAAACTTTGAGCCTCACACCTTGATCATCTTCATGTAAGGAAATACAAAAGAGAACTATTAAATCTTAATCCTAACAGTTAAGCAACAAATTGTTCTTTGGTTGCTTCACTATCAAGGAAAGAGTTAACTTAAAGGAGATAGATTAAAAGCCACTGTAACCTTTAATGAAGAAGAGGAGTTAATTACCATTCCTGTTTTCATAAATTTCACTTAATTCCATAAGTCAAAGATCAATTGGTTAGCTTTATCTTTCAAGAAATTGATTAATTCCTTGAAAGCATGTCGATGGCCTCGTTGGGGTATATGATAAGATCACTTTCATTCCTAAAGAAAGGTCAATAATTCACAATGTCAACTCTAGGCTAAGATTAAAAAAAGAAGGGTCAGTTCTCCAGGTTATGTTGATGATGATATATTATGCAATGTGCAAAACTGTGGAAGGTTTAGGTGCCTGGTGGAGGTAGGAAGCATTGTTGTAATGTAATCTCTTCTGAATAGATATGTGTCACCTTTGTTGACAATTAGGGAAAAAGATTTCTGGAAATTGCTATTCTTTTGTAGAACAAACCCTAGTTGTATAGAAAAAAAAGACAACAATTTTCCCATGTGCAAGGGAGTAGGAACAAATGCAAAAAGAGTAGAAACTAATGAGAATCTTATTGTATTGTCAAAGATCAAAGAAAAATTTATCTCCACCATAAGAATTTCGATGGATCCCAGCTCTCTCTTTCAAAAACAATAGTCTAGAAGATCATTGAAGAGAGATCACAACCTCTTCTTGCTGAGCTGCTAGTTGGATATTTCATGATAGCTGACATACTCCACCTTTGTTACCAGCTTTAGATGATGTTACTTTAATCATTGCAATGAAGAAACCAACAAGATTTCAGTGCTATATGATGTTGCAATCTCATTGAAACATACATACATTCATTGATACCTGACAGGGATACATTCTGCAATAGGACACCATAGTCAACTCTTCTGCAGAATTTCTATCCCACAACCCCCACAAACCTCATCTTTTTCTGTTTTTTTGGGTCAGTTCACAATCCAAAATCTATACTATATCCTTTGTACTTGTTCATTTACTATTCCATGTGATTCTTGCCAAGATGAAAAGAATCAAGCAACATGATTGAGTTAATTTATTGTTATTAAATAAGCATGTGATTTGGGTATAACTTAGTTAATTTAGACTAGGCCAGGTTTTCTGCATATACAAACAGCCCGGTTTTATGATAAAGTTTTACTTGGTGATGGAAGGATGTGATTTTTAAGGGCATAGATAGTTTATTTGGTAGCTGACTGAAAACTGACAATAAGGCCTCTCCTGTCCATTGAAACGAGTTATAACTAATCTCTCAGCCAGACCAGTTGCCATACAGTATATTAATTTCTAAACTTTGATGTATATATGATATAATGATTCTATCTGGGGGACATATTATATTGGTTACCAGTACATTATTTCAAAATATATAATTCATTGCATTAAAATACTATCTTTGCAAGTCTCCAATTGAGTTAGTTGAGTAACTGTTTCTTTATTTCAGAAGCAGAAGAAAAAACAAAGTAGAGTTTGAAAGCAGAGACATGGGTTCTGATTTTGCTTGGTGCATTTCCTTTTTGGTTCTTCTTGTTTTGATGGTAAGAATCAACATAATTTTGCTTGATTTATACTAATTAAAATATTTCTCTCCCGCAAATTCCCACTTCTGTTTTATAGTTTCAGCATTAAACTTTTTCTGTCAATTTTAATAACAGTGTGCAAAAGCCAGTAGTGCCCGGAAGATAACTGGCAGACAAGATATGGAAGAAGGACCCATCAGCACAAGCTATCTGCAGCAACCTTCCAGTACCATAAATGGCGATTCTCATGTATTAGCTCACATGGAACATCTGGACCCTTCACTAAACATTTTCTTCAAGATAGATGACCTTAAGGTTGGGAAAACAACGGCCATCTACCTCCCCAGTAAAGACTTTTCTGTCTCTCCTCATCTGTTATCCAGAGAAGAAGCCAATTCTATTCCCTTCTCATCAACAAAACTCCCACAACTTCTTGAGTTCTTCTCATTCTCTAAGGACTCTACCCAAGCCAAAGCCATGGATTATACACTTAAACAATGTGAGTTTGAACCCCCCAAGGGTGAGATAAGGTTTTGTGCCACTTCCCTGGAATCAATGCTTGACTTTGTTCGTTCTGTCTTTGGCTTGGATTCCCACCTCAAAGTTTTAACCACTACCTTTCTCGAAAAACCAACTGCCTTTCTTCAAAACTACACCATTTTGGGCATGCCTAAACAGATCCGTACTTCCAGGATTATTGCATGTCACACTTTGCCATATCCTTATGCAGTATTCTACTGTCACAGCCAAAAGAGTGAAACCAGGCTATTTCAGGTTTCACTAGGTGCTGAGAATGGAGACAGGGTGCAAGCTCCAGCGGTTTGTCACATGGATACCTCTCAATGGGACCATGATCATGTATCGTTTCGTTTGCTCAAAATCAAGCCTAGATCATCCCCAGTGTGCCATTTTTTCCCTCCAGATAATCTAGTTTGGGTGCCTTTGCTTGCTTGAATATACTGGCCTGGTTATGAATATTGTTTGTATGCAGCAGCAGCAAAATGCAACAGCAAATCATGTAGAGTAATGTTACCATCTAACATGAATGTTGTTCAACACCATGTCATAATTTGGTTTGATGTTTTTAGTGCCATAAATCAAAGGTTCTTTCCAGAGTTATTACAGCCTCTGGCGTACTACAAACATGAACTAACTTTTATCCCTGAGGTCTTTTGACAACAACCTGATTCAATCGTCAAAATATATGACATTATGACATGTAAGTGAATCAGCCTGTGGCCCTCTACTAGTTGATTTTTCAAGCCCAGTCAAACCATTGAAAGAACAATTGAAACCATCAAGCCCAATCTTTTAACAAATAGAAATAACTTGGACTGGGCTCAAAGAAAAGTCACCCAAGTACTTGGAAAATTACCCTTTTCCCTTTTGAATCAGTTAAACGGGATTATTAGTAGCCAATACAAGAAGGGAGTAACAACTAAGAACTCAGAAAAGTCTTCATATATATATATATATATATATATATATGGAATCTGTGATTAATTGTTGGCAACATTCACACCCCACAATAAAAAGTAATGCCATTTTCCTTCACTTGCTTTTCTCAAAAAAAGATAAATAAATGATATTTAAATATTGTCTTTTCACTCATTTGAATTATTGAAGCCATTGCTCAAGTGATGAATGCCTCCTGTAAAAGCAATGGCTGGCTGCTTTAATATTTATAAACTTTCAAGGGACTAAGCTTTTATAGAATAATAATAATAATAAATTAAAGCAATGAACAAGAAAAGTTGGGTCGCTAGTCACCATAATGCGGGTCTTTCTAGAGCCCATGCCATTTAAAAAGCCTAAATTAATGGGCTTAAATATAAACTTAAATCAAAATATCAGGGCCCTTGGACATTTGAAGGAATCCGAGAAAATCGAATGCATTTGCAATTTGATTTGGACAGATAAAATTTAAAAATATTTCTGAATTTGATTAACATTTCCACTTAAAATTTTTTGGAATGAGACAATCATAGAAACACTTTATATAGCTTTCTCAGCTATTCTCTGTTCTCTCCTAAAGAGGTTACTGCTAATAAAGCTGAAGGGCCATTGTTTTTTAATTTTTTGGGAAACAGACAAGAAAAATGGGACAGACCAATCTTGCAATAATTTGTTTTGGTCTGTCGATAAAGACAAGATTCAGATGATATTCAGTGTTTGGTAAGAATTTGCTCTATAAGGCTAAAAGTTTTGCCACGTTTACTCCAATATTTCTCAATTATGTGCAACAGAAAGTGTAGTCTTAATTATTTTTCAATTTAATTTCAATCAATTACAGAAAGTACAGGATGTGCTGGCGAGTAGATTGTGAAACAGATTAAAGATATAGTTTATTTTCGATTGTGGAGATTATAAAATATTGCATTTGATGAGGTTAACAAAACAATATATGAGAGATGAGATCTAAAAAGAAAAAAATTTATAATATAATTTTGAAATACATATAATTATTAGATATTTAATTATTTAATTGATATTTATGTTACTCTGATTCTTAATTTTTTTTTTAAGTATTTGTATCCAAAACAAGTATGGATTCGAAAGTTCGATAAATATTTTAAAAAATTTAAAAATATCGGTATCACGTGTATATATATTTAAAGAATACATTATATACACGTACATAAGATTCACTAAATCCGATCGAGTTAAATAGATTGATGTAAACATTAATTTTTACGTGCAGTGTGGCCATGGAGTTGTTGGAGGCAGGGATGTGAAGCCTGCTGCAGTGGCCAACCCAAATGACCTTGCAGGGAAATTTTCGATTTCCGACTTCCACAAAACATTGAACATTGGTTCACTCGAAAAGAGTTCTCTTCAAGCTCTAGTCGAGAAGTACTCCCTTCGTGATCATTCTCATGATAACATGGAGAACTCTAAGGGAGGCTTATCGTTCACTGTTGATGAGCTACACAACAATTTCCAAGCAGGAAAAATGTTACCAGTCTTCTTCCCTAACAAAGACCATGCTACATCTCCTTTCTTGCCCAAGCCCTTTCTCATCATCAAAACTTGCAGAAATCCTCCAACCCTTTTCGATCCCTCCAGATTCTTCCCTGGCCAAAGCCATGAAAGATACACTTCAAAAATGTGGAAACTCCTAAACAGATTAAATCTGTCAGTAAAGTAGCCTGCCACCCCATGCCTTATCCTTACGCAGTTTTCTTCTGCCACTATGATGAGGATTCAAGTGAGACCAGAATTTTCAAGGTCTCAATGGTTGGTGAGAACACTACGGACAGAGTAGATGCTACTGTTGCTTGCCACATGGACTCTGCTACCGCCGCCCTTCTTAACCCCACAGAAAAGCAAGGCAAATCTCTGTTGTGCCATTTCTTCTCTGCTGGGGATCTGGTTTGGGTTAAGTGATTGAGGGCCTGCCAATTCTCGTCTAATTAGTGGCTTGTTGTAAGATTTGTTGCTTGATATGTCTTGCCATGCATGAGGTTGTCCCATATTACAGCTTTTACAAACCTATGATCCTAAAATTGATCTACTTCAGTTTGGTATTTGTACATAAATAATGTAATAAAATCTGATCATGATATATTCCTGAATCCTGATGTGCAAGGAATTTATTGAACGAGATCAGATTATATAGGCTTGTAATTTATGCCAACTATTCTAATGTTTAAATTAAAACATGCATGGCACTTTGTATTGGAAACCTTTGTTGATTTTATGCATGGTTAAATTATCTTTGCATTTACTCCCTCTTTTATGGTATGTAGTAAAAAAAAGTTACTACCACTATTTACTAACTACAAACAAAGTTGATTTCATATAATTTACTCAGTAATACTTAGTACTATGTTTTGTTTGACAGAAAATATGTTTATTAAACGATAGAAAATTAAACTTGAAATATAATTCGATTGATATAATCATTTTTAAAAAAAATGTATTTTATCAATTTTGATTCAAATTTTAATATTTAAGTTTTTTTTTTTTTCAGCTTTAGCTTTCTTTATTGAAAATAATAACATGAAATAATGAAAGAAATATACAAAAAAGATAAATACATGTCATAATTTCAACTAAATGATTTAGAAATTGGACGAAAGAAATGTACTTTTTTCATTTAATATAACTATACAAGTACAAATTGAAATACTACAAGATTTTGTCTGCAGCCACAAACTTTAGCGCTTTGGAAGCACAAAATTGTTTTGGGCCACACTTTTTTTTTTTAATATGTAATCAATCGAAATATTGAGCCCCTGTCGGCCTGATCTCCAATGCAATGGCCATTGAGCCTAGGTGAAGAAGCCCAAATATGAGCAAGTTGGTCTGATAAGCAAAACAGCAACTTGACCCATGGACGGTTCATTTTGATGGTGAAACCCATTGCTGCTAGTTATAAAAACTTGGTAGTTGTAGATCTGGGATAAGCTACTAGACAACCGTAACCAGGACAGAAACAGAAGAACATTACTTCCAAGTGCAAAGTGGAAAAATCTATTGTCATAGGTGTTGGTCTTCCCAAATGCCTACTAAGCTTTATTCTTCAATCTTCCCATCTATCATCTTTCTCTCTCTCGTCTTCCTCTTCCTCTACTCCACTTTCCTTCCTCTTTATACCAACAACCACTCCTCTTCATCGCCCGCTAAGAAGTTCCTTACTTCACCATCTTCTTATTGCAACATTTTCAATGGCAATTGGGTCTTAGGCTCCACCAAACCCAGGCCTTTCTACGATGAAACCTGCCCATTTCATCGAAACGCCTGGAATTGTATTAAGAACAAGAGGGACAACATGGGAATCATCAATTCCTGGAAATGGGTACCCAAAGATTGCAGCTTGGAGAGAATTGATCCCAAGGGTTTCTTGAGTTTGATGAGGAATAGGAATATTGGCTTTGTTGGGGATTCTCTGAATGAAAATTTTTTGGTGTCTTTTTTGTGCATTCTTAGAGTGGCTGATGTAAGTGCTAAAAAGTGGAAGAAAAAGGGTGCTTGGAGAGGGGCTTATTTTCCCAAGTACAATGTCACGGTTGCCTATCATAGGGCTGTTTTGCTTGCCAGATACAAGTAAATTTTTTCTGGTTTCATTGATAGTTTTGATTTTTTGATTGATCGAAAATGCAATTGAGATAATTGTGTGTTTTATTTGTTATCTTGTGATGCTTGAAATTTGACAAAATTAGATTAGAAAAAGGGAAGTTGCTGAAACTGTGTTAAGCAATGAGAAGGCCATATTTGGATCAATCTATTAGAGGAAACTTGTAAAATGCAGGCACTTCCTGTAGGGCCTTCATTTCAGTGATCTTAACCTTAATTTTTTGATCTAGTGGTTTCTTGGAATTATTTTTTTCCCATCCTAGTGATGTTATACTATTCTAGACCATGGATCATGGATTATACTGCAGGGGGGTGATTTCTATGTTGTGATGAGTGAGTGACAGATTACATTTTTGAATTCTCTGGATTTGTTTTAGAATATGGGTTTGCATTATGGTTGCTATGACTTTATGAGTTTCCATAGAGATAGCTCTGTTCTGAGTATAAACCGCTTGCCAAATTCCCTCTGGTATTTAATCTTCCTTGTTGTCCTATAATTTTTAAGACCAAGAAATATAGCTTGACCACGGAACTCTAGAGATCTGAATTGGAATGTTGTATCGGAGTTGATAATGCAGTCCTCATCAGACTACTGACCACCTTGAGGTGGTGTTTTGATAAGCAACCTAGCTTCTTGACTTGCATGTTTTTACATGTTTTTTTTTTCAATGCAATGACTTGTAACTGTTTTCTTATTTTTGGCATCAGTCGTTGTAGGTAATACATATTTCTTCTGCTTTATGATGTTTCATTTGCCTTCCATGGAAATTCTAGACATCTTGATTTCTGTCTTAGTTTTATGTTTCACATGCTTGTGCTTGACTATAACAGGTGGAAGCCAAAACAATCTGCGGTTTCTGATCAGGATGGACTAAAAGGAATATACCGAGTGGATGTTGATATTCCTGCTGATGAATGGATCAACGTCAGGGACTTTTATGATGTTCTTGTTTTTAACACTGGCCATTGGTAATCTTCTTTTCTTTTTGCTAATTTATAGAAGATGCTGGTCAATTAATCGATCTCCTTTTGTTATTATTTTCTGACTTCATATGTACTTAGTGTAATTTTTGAGATGTTTCATTTATTTAAAGGTAGAGTGTCTTAACACACACACATACATGTCAACATACTCTCACTCATGCATATGTAAGGCAATTATCTTGGGCAATTCCTTTTTGAAACATCTTGTAGTAATGCTTAGTTTGGTCTTTATTAGGTGGGGCTATGATAAATTCCCGAAAGAGACACCTCTTGTCTTCTATCAGCAAGGGCAACCAATAAGTCCCCCACTGGGATTATCGGATGGCCTTCAAGTTGTTCTTGAAAATATGGTCCACTACATTCAAAAGGAAGTTCCTAAGAACACTCTCAAGTTTTGGCGATTGCAATCACCAAGACATTTTTATGGTGGCGAGTGGAACGAAAATGGCAGTTGCTTGTCTGACAGACCCCTTGAAGAACACCAGGTATCAGTTGATAATTTTTAACCGCTCTTCAATTGCAATGTCAAGTTTGGTCTTGTCTAATACTCCATTTAATTGACTCCTGCAATATTTCCAACTTGTTTTTTTTAATTTCATTTACACACCTTTTGTAGCAATTCAAATCCAAATTTAGTTTAGTTTAAAGAAATATCTTTCTGAATTTTAAACCATATTTGGAATGTGCACTGCAATATTTTGCAGAGGATTTGATACTAATGCCTTGGCAGCTTGACTTGTGGTTTGATCCCAGCAACAATGGAGTGAATAAAGAAGCAAGGACACTTAACCATCTAATCAAAGAGGCACTGCAAGGCACAGATATTCAATTGCTTGATCTGACTCGTTTAAGTGAGTTCAGAGCAGATGCCCATCCAGCAATTTGGTTGGGAAAGAAGGATGCTGTGTTGACGTGGGGCCAGGACTGCATGCACTGGTGCCTACCTGGTGTCCCTGATACATGGGTTAATATACTGGCACAACTAATCCATAATATCTTGGAGACATGGTGATCAAATGTTGAACTGAATCTTATCAAATTGTTTCAATATTCACCTTGGATAATGCGAAGCAGCGCCCTCTGTATTCACTAAGTATGCCAATATGTGAAAATGTGAATACAGAATACAAGCGAATGCCTCAACCCTTCTGTCCTCTAAGATCTCTTCTTATGGGCCTTTCCCACTTCCCTTTTTTTCGGTCTTGGGGGGTGGGGGGTTGTCTAACTAACGGATTTTGTCAATTACAACAGCGAATCACTAACAGATGACGTCTTCTTCAGTGATGTGTCCTGGTTTGAAGAGAATGTTGGGGATTTTCACAAGATATATATATATATATATATATATATATATTTATATATTATGATGAACAAGATAACTTAGATTGCTAAAGAACTTGTAAATTGTAATAGACTACTAGTTTAATTGAAAATTTCCTTTCTTCGGTCACAGTCAAATATCAAAATCTTGGATAGTGGAATGTTGTATATCCATTTATTTGATAGTCATGTTGTCCATTTTTTTCCTTTCCTTTTCAATATTACAAGGTTTATTTCTCTAGCTTGCCTGGTCCTCCATTACTTGGTTTTATGTAAATGATTAAACCTTCAAAGGATAAACAATGAACGTATAAAGAATTTCTTTCTATACATATATAAATACAATTTTCTCTTGAAAAAATGTTTTAAAAATCACAAATTTAATGACTACAACAGAAGCAGCCTAACACTTGCTCTAGAATCCCATTAGACCTCAGAAATAAAGTTGCCTGCACTTTGCAGCCGAAACCTCTGTTGGTCAGTAAGGACATTTAAACGTCCGATTGCTGCTTTTTGACAGCTTCATGATCGATTGCTTGCATGGGACATGCAGACAAAGCATCAGCATTGGTGGATTCTCTTCGCTGCCTCGATCTCTATTCATAGGACACAAATACCAAGTGAAACTGAAATTTATTCCCCAACTCCACTGCTACTGATAACTGTTTCATTGCTTGCCACTCCTGTCTTTGCAGCCATTACATTAGCCAGCTTCAGCAGTGTAGGCAACCCTTCACAAGTAGCTATGGCCACACTCAATGGACTCTGATAGGACTGTCCCACAAGAATGCAAAATTGTTGTGTGAGCTCCTCACTGAATTCCTTCCAATGTGTTGGAGCCATTTACCCAGCATGCGGGCAGCTGTCAAGCTTTCCTACCCCTATGATGCAAACCAAAAGCTTCTGAAACTCATTCATATGCAGAGCGAAAAGAGAGCGCGCGAGTCTTTGGCTCGCTTTGGGACATGAGAATGGAAGTGAAGAGAAGCACACGTGCAAAAATTCGGGTAACAAACAAACACTAGTGTGGAATTTTTATTTTCTTCAAAGACCCTTAATCAACTTCCATTATTCTATCCATGGTTAGATGCGTCAATTGATAAGATATGAGTAAGATAAATCATTCTTTATTTTTATCCTTAAATTTTTATATCATCTTCATCTTCATATCATATTCAATAAATATTTTAAATTAATTTTTATTTTTATTGATATTTAATGGATATGATTAATCTTTATACTCATAGCTTTTAATAAAAAATTTAAAATTTAAAATTAATTTTTTTTAATTTTTATCTTATATATTTAAGTAATTTTTTATAAATATATATTAATATATATTTTTAATAAAATATATTAATTTTAATTAATTTAAAATAATAATTTATATTATTTAATAAAAATTTTATATATTAAATATATATAAATATATATAAATATATAATACGGAACAAATTAAATATTATTTATTTCAATTTTATATTTAATAAAAATTTAAAATTATTTTTATTTTTATCCCATACTCGTAATATTTATTTTTATTTTTATTTCGATAAAAGATTAAATTTTCATCGAATAAAACTGACATATCTCTCCGTTATTACTTGCACGACGTGTCGTTTTAAGTTTTTGGCTATCAACGAAGATTTTTCGCATTCGGTATCACTCCCTTTGCTTGGAGACAGAAAAACTCGAACTTTCTCTCTCAAATGGGCCTTAACGTCCTCAAAACGACACCTTTTTCTTCTTCCTCTACCACAGCTCTACTCCTAATCACCGCCAGTGCCACCGCTGCAAAACCCGCCTCAAAACCCGCCTCTTTCTCTAGATTTCTCAACTCTTCTTTGGAAACTGCTTCTAATTCTGTTCTTACTTGTAAAACCCGCTTGAGATTTCCTTTTTCTTCGCCAAGGGCTATTACTTGCCCCATTTCTTCATCTGGGTTCGGTAGCTTCCTTCACCAGAGCAAGCGTAGGTTTCGTGGTAGTGTTGTTGTGGCCATGGCTGCTTCTGGGTCGGTCCAGAAATCCGAGGAAGAGTGGCGTGCTATTCTCTCCCCTGAGCAGTTTCAAATTTTGAGACAAAAGGGCACTGAGTAAGTTTGCTAAGTTAGTGGTAGTGTTGATTAGAACCTTATATTTCTGTCAAATTGTATAAATTTTTAGGACCAGCAAATAAGTTTGTAATCTGATAAAGATATGGAATTGGAAAAGAAAAAGGTTAGTCATTGAGAATCTCCATTTTTGGAGAATTTATTTTGAGTCTTAACAATTTTGGATTTCAGTGTTTATTGTTTTTGATCGATCTATTTGCAAAGATTCTGTCTTTTTCGTTGTGGGTTTCGTTTTAATCTAACCAATGTCATCCTTCTGACAAGTGAGATTTGCATTGTGCTTAATTGCTGAGTATAATTTTGACTGAATCATACGACTTAATACATATCCCTTAGTAATTGTTGGCAATGTTTTGATACTTTATAGGTATCCAGGCACTGGAGAATATGACAAGTTCTTTGGTGAGGGAGTCTATAACTGTGCAGGATGTGGGACTCCTCTCTACATGTCTACTACAAAATTTAATTCTGGTTGTGGTTGGCCAGCTTTCTTTGAGGGTCTCCCTGGAGCCATAAATCGCAATGTAAGCTTCCTTCCTCTTTTGCTCCACTTGTTTTCTTCTATTCCAGTGTTCTGTATCAGTTGAATTGGTATATGTTTCAAGTAGATATTTACTAATGAAGAGTGTCATGTTAACCAGCCGGACCCAGATGGGATGAGGACTGAAATCACTTGTGCAGCTTGTGGTGGGCATTTGGGCCATGTATTTAAGGGTGAAGGGTTTCCAACGCCCACGGATGAACGTCATTGTGTCAATAGCATATCACTCAAGTTTGTTCCTGCAAATGCTTCGGAGTAAATATGTTAGTACATATTCATTCTGTATAGAACATGGCCATAATGTGATATTATGCTAACAAGAACTGATGTAACTTCTGGATCAAATTCTACTTAAGGTTCTATTGTATTTGATCTTCATTTTTTTCTTGCAATGTATGCACAATGTTTGGAGTTTCTTTGTGGAGTTGCATAGGGAGTATCTCATTATCCAAAGAAGCAGGAGAAACTGCTACCAAAAAATAATGCAAAGTGTACGGTATAGAGTTCCTATACAGTTTTTGGAAGCCGCATGGCCCATGTATATTTATTGAATATATACATCAAAGGAGTAATGACTCTATAGTCATTTTCATTCATGTTATACAGTTGGAGATTTTTATTGCTTTGACAAAATGAAGATCTGTAGAGAAGCCATTTTTCAGTCCTTGGTAGCCATGAAAAAGGTAAAGCTAGTTTTCAAGGCAATAAATGGCCAAGCAAACAATACAAGTAATTTCCCTTCTGTTTGAAGGTGGGAAAAGAAATAGAGACAACAATCTTTGCCATAACCATATATATGCCTCTGATAGCTCTCTTTGTCATATCAGACACTATCATTTCAAGCTTAACCCTGGATCATTAAACTTCAAAATCAAGAAAATATCAATGGAATTAATACATCTATTCATTGGAAAACAAAAATGAAGACTTTGCCCTTGTCATATCAGACACTATCATTTCAAGCTTTACTGTGGATCAGTAAGCTTAAAGAGCAAGAAAAATATCATCGGAATTAATACATCTTTTCATTGGAAAACGAGGAAAAACAACAAGTGGTCCCGGCGAGGCTCGAACTCGCGACCTTCGGCTCATAAGACCAACGCTCTAACCAACTGAGCTACGGGACCTCGGCTTTTTTCTCGCTCCTCTAAACAAAAAAGCGTATAATAAAAAAAAATAAAATGGGCCTCTAAAAGTTGGCCCATTGATTCTCTCTTGTGTTTATAAAAGGCCCAAAAAGTTTCTGAAGCCCCGTCGGCCGTCGCACGCTTACCAGTTACCACGTGACTTCCAAACCTAGAGTTAAAAAAGGCGCTCTGAAAATAGGAGAAGATTGTACGTACGTAGTTGTCGGAAGCTTCACTTGGACAGCTATTTGAGAAAGTGCAAAATTAAAGTTGAGACGATGAAGTGAAGCTTGAAGGGTTATGCATATGTTCAATCAGGGACCATGTACTTTTTATGTTTTTATCTTTAAACTATGTCGTTTCTCTCTTTTCTAGAACACATATCAGAAGAGCAGATACAACACATTACTTGCAACTGTCTTTCTTTTCTATAATTTCAGAATTTGTGTTGGCCCCAGTTCTCTGCTGCTGCTAGCTTTTCACCTACATGAGAAGCTTGTAGTATTGAAGACTTAACTTTATAGAGATTTTGCAGGACTGTCAACATCAAATTCTGTTTCCAGCAGCTGGGATATGGTTTAAAGGTATTGCATGTTTTTTCTTATCTTTCGACAGAAACAAACAAAAAAAAAATGAATCATACTTTATGGCTAGTTGAGGCAATTATTATTAGGTTATACGTACACTTGGAAAAGTTCTGGTTGTGAATTTCGAAAGGTGTTAATTCATGGCCATTAAGTTTGCGTTGTTGTGACAATTTATTTTAATCATATATTTTAATATTTTTAATGTTAGTATTTTTATCACGAAAAAAATGTGGTAACTTAATAAATATTGTGACCAATATAATAGTGATGGAATTCTTTATATTTTTAGTGATAAATTTTTTCTCCACTAAAATTACTATTTCTTGTTGTGGCTGGCAGGAATATTTCTTCGTGGTGTGGATAGATTCCATGAAGATAGTGAAGCAAGAGTTATTGAAGTTGACAGATCAAATACCACACCATTGCTTGAACCCAAAGTTGCAGAAAGAAGAGACTCTTCTGCTGATCAACCGAGTCCTCACTTCTCACTTGTCATTTATAATTCTTTACCGTCTGTTGAATGATTTCATATTTTTATAGATTTAGAGTTCATACATATTTAAAAAAAAAAGGGTAAAAGGTAAAGAATATCAATAATTCAATATCACACCCAAAACTAGCGAGTGTTTGGGTCTGGTCTTTGTTCGCCTTCTTGGCTCGGAAGCAGAACAGGATTGTTGAAATGTTTTTCACGTGGCTCTTCAGCGTTGGTCCCAAATGATAGAGGTCGAGAGCCCGCACGCCTTTTCTGTCAGTCTCTGACTATCATAAAATTCGAAAGCCTTCCCCAACCATAGCTTGAAACAGGTCTGAGTTACATGACAAATGTATGGACTTTAGCCTGCCTAGTGCCTGCTCTAAGTTACGGGCCACACACTGAAGAACCGTCCAATTCCGTTCATTCAATAATATCCACAAATGGCCAGATTGTGTTTGGGTAGCTCGAAGAGACTTTTAACAGATTTTATCATGTTTTTATCATTGTTTTTTCTAATGTCCTTGTTGTACAAATAAACATGAAAAAATGGCCCATTTTTTCAACAAAATTTTCTGGCGCATTGCTTTGTTCTATTCCCGTCTCTGACTCTATAACACCTTTTCCATTAATTTGCAAGACAAATTTAATCAAAAGGATGTGAATTGTGATAGAGGCAAAACAAGAGATAGGAATAATGGAAGCCAGTGAGGGTGCCGAAGCGAGTAGAATCCTCATATTTGGGGGAACTGGGTACATAGGAAAATATATGGTGAAGGCCAGCGTCAAGTTAGGACATAAAACTTTCGTTTATACCCGCCCTGTCACTCCACAATCTGATCCAGACAAGATAAAATTACACAAGGAGTTAGAATCAATTGGCGCTACCATCATCCAGGTAATGTGCTTACAGGCATGCATGAAATTAAATTCTTCATAAAAAGTTACTAGTAATTATTGTTGATGTTCGAACAGGGAGAGTTGGTCGAACATGATAAGATTGTGGCCGTACTTCGTCAAGTAGATGTAGTGATCTCATTACTACCATTCCCCCAGGTTCCTGATCAGATACATATAATTGAAGCCATTAAAGTTGCTGGTAACATCAAGGTGAAAACATTGTCGTCTTAATTAAATTAGTTAATAGCACTTTAGCTCTTTAAATTTTGGCATTTATTGTCATATTCTTTGTCATTTGATCATATGATAAAGTCTGTTGTCACTCCCAAAAGATAAATTTAACCTAACAAACTTTACGTAACATCAGTTGTTATTTATTGTCAAATTAGACAATTCTGCAGATGAAATGATCAAAATGATATTGATTTATATATTTGCTATATATATAAAATAGAGGTTCCTGCCATCGGAATTCGGGGTTGAAGAGGACAGATTGAATTTTCTGCCTCCTTTCGAAGCTTGTTTAGACAAAAAGCGAAAGATTAGAAGGGCAGTGGAAGCAGTTGGGATCCCTTACACCTTCGTATCTGCAAATTGCTTCGGTGCCTACTTTCTGAACTACTTGCTTCGTCCACATGAAGAACATGAAGATATTATTGTCTATGGATCAGGTGAAGCCAAGGGTACGTAAGAATCAACATTTCATTTAATCAATCTTTTGCCAAACTTTAAATAGTATTACTCTCTCTCTCTCTCTCTCTCTCTCTCTCTCTATATATATATATATATAACTTTAAATTGATTTCTATTGTCGCATTCAGCACTGTTCAATTACGAAGAAGATATCGCAGAATACACAATCAAAGTAGCAAATGACCCAAGAACATGTAACCAAGTAGTAATTTATCAGATGCCAAAGAATATTTTGTCCCAGATTGAATTGATTTCTTTGTGGGAGAAGAAAACAGGTAGGAGTTTCAAGAGGACTCATGTAACAGAGGGAGAACTAGTGAAACTGTCAGAGAGTAAGTTTGAAGGCTTTTGCTTCATTGCTTTTGTTTACTTACATTGATTTTCAAATTGGCATTAATTAAAAGTTTCACTTTTTTGCAGCTTTGCCATTTCCGGTTAATGTACGAGCTTCCATCCTTCATAGCTTGTTCGTAAAGGGTGATCTTCTGAACTATGAGCTTGGGGAGAATGACCTTGAGGCTTCCAGTTTATATCCGAATCATAACTACACCACCATTGATCAACTTCTTGATATTTTCATCGTCGATCCGCTGAAGCCTGCTCTTGCTGCATTTTGAATGAGATCACTTTCTATCGTTTCAGCTCCCTAGTTCTCAAATATTTTCTAGTAGTGATCCCCAGTTTAATTGCTTACACTGTTATCATGGACTCTGTTAGTAGAGTGTTGAATTCAAATATGATGACTATCCCCAGTTATACCGGCCGTATAGAGGAGCAGGAGAATAGTATAGATCCTGCTGAAAATAAATAACTGAATTTTATTGTGATAAATATATAGTATCAATCTCATACAAATACTCCTTTATAACATTGTTCGATGGCTGGTTATGATTCCCATGGCTATGCAGAATATAAATAATGATGGAAATATTCTATGCAGAATATAAATGATGATAGAAATATTATAACATATTGTTTCCGTAGGTTCCTTTTCCCCTAAAGCAACGTCCTGCTCTCCCTGTATATAATCAGCTGGCCGTCGATTCAGTTAACAGAGTTATCAGAAAGTTACAGTAATCAAGTTCTCAAGAGATTTTTCTGATTCATTTAAATGGAAATGTCATTAAGTACGAGCAATTAACAGAGTTTTCATCATTTCCCTGTACAAGTGAAATTTGGCAGCAAAATTCAGTTCCTTATTGACAATAATTATTCTTCGTACAAACAGAAGTCTTTTCCTATTTATCCACATCAGAACATCATAGGAATATGAACTGCTGTCCCAATTAAAAAGAGTTTTCTAATTTACTCAAACGATAAGCAAACGATAAGCAGAAAGAAAAGCATCGCGGAATCAACTTATATAATTACCAAGACCTGCTTGCAACAGGGGAAAAACTCGGATGAGTGTCCGAAATTGAAAGCATGGCCGCTGTAATGCTCCTGGTAGCATTTATACAAGTGAAAGCTCTCCAGCGGGGATTGATCTTTTGACAAGTTTGGCCCAAGACTCGTTAGTCTCGGTAATGACCTTAAGAGCATAATCCTGTTTATCATACAGGTAAAACTTAAGAGAGCAGAAGCAGGAGAAAGCAGAGAGGCATTTTGGAAGTAAGGAAGAGGGCAAAATCAATACTTACCTTGTTTGCCGCCTTGTTGCCAAGACCAAACTTGTTGGCTGGTTTTCCATCAGGGATCTTGTAGTCTCTAAACCAATCCCTGATTGAGGTCAGAGTCCCCTGAAAATATCACCAGATGAATGCTCAAAATTTTGGCAATTGTAAGTGAGATAACCATCCTTAAGACTAGTTAAAATAGTTCAATTTCAGAACAAGTAAAAGTAATGTCTTTAATGCTGGTACTCATAGCAAAATAAGCTAGCAATGTCAACAATATAACTTATAATTCTTGCTGTTGACATGATCAATTGATTGATGAACTCAAATACCGGCAAAGTATAGAGAGAATTACCGGGAAATGCTTCTCAACATCATCAATATCATTAACAAGTGAAGCCCTTGGATCATCTAATGAGATGGCAACTATTTTCCAGTCAAGTTCCCCATCATCAATCATGGCTAAAGCAGCCAAGGGCTTAACCTTCAGAATGTCACCAATCTTTCTCCGGCTTTCACCAATCTCAACAACATCAACTACAAGTTGAAAGAAGCAAAAACATCAAGATTTCAAAAACTATTTTGCACAACAAAAAGAAGAAAAAGCTTTCTCATAAATGTCAAATACTGAAACAAGCAATGGAATTACCAGGGTCATTATCACCAAATGCTCCTTCAACTTCAGACTTAGCAAAAGATGGGTCTTCCCATGTTTGTGGAAGCAATCCATAATTCCAGTTTATATTATAGCTGAGGGACAACAAATGGCATTAATCAGAAATGAAGCCTCTAAGAGACACACTAGACAATGAAAACTCGCAATAGCAAGAAGCTGAAACCAAGTCAAATCCAAAAATAAGAATCCTACATAAAATGTGCATTAATTCTGTGTAACTTCGTATATACTAAGTGCTGTATTCATGGTTCTCCCCCATGAACTTTGGATCGAGCATCATCTGAAGCCGCGTGATGTGCCTTAAACTCCTAAAATCACTTGCTGTAATTTGAAGCTACTCAACCACTCTGCTATTTCGCAGACAAGTTTCTCTGGCTATTTATGTATACTTGAAGGTAACTAAGTTATTTTCAGTCACTTACAATGAGCTAGGAACTTGGTTCATTCCCAAATGAAGACAAGCTTCTATGGTTAAAATATGGCATTTCCAAGAAAAAGAAATCACAGTGAAATGCAAAATCTAATTGCCCAATTGTTAGAAAATTTAAACACCCTAGCACAAATCACTGCTGAAAATAAAAAAAAAGTGATCAAAGCTAAACATAATCAAAATCAGAAAATCTCACGGGTAATATCGAAGCTTGCCCTTCTTTGTATCCTGCTTAATGGGAGTGAATGCCTCATCGGTAGCAACCTCCATTTTTGCACTTGACTCTTTGGGTATTTCAACAATAAAGCTAAAAACACCATCTCCCAAGCGCAATGGCACATCATGCCAAGGAGAAATCTGGGCAATCACCAAATCTCAATTACCATCAAAATAAATTCCAAAGATTTTGAAAATAAGGTTAAGGAAATTACCTTTTTGCCCGAGGTGTCTTCGAAGAAGACCCTGTAGTCAAGGGTTTCGGGTTGGCCTTGTTGTTTGATCTGAACCTGAGGGTTATAAATGGCATTGCAAGAAAATAATCTTTTGGACAATCGTCTGCCGTTGTTGAAGCTAAGAGCGTTGCTGTCGCGTTTCGAAGCAAAAGGCGTTCTGAGGAGCAAGCAGGTAGTGGCGGCGGTTGAATTGCTGGCGACGGCTATCACTCTGGCTGCTGCTGCCATGGTTGATTTGTTTGTGTGGTGGAATCTCAATCAGCGAAGGAGTGTTTGGTGGTTTGATTTTATTGGCCTACCCTTTGAATGCTTTCGTATATTCTTTTTTCCTTTTTCTAATTTTTTCATTCCTTTTCTTGTCCTTTTTTTTTTTTTTTTAACTTTTGTTTTTGAAACTTCTTTAAGAATTTTTAATTTTAAATAAATTATAAAAAATTATCTTGTATACTAATCATAAAAATTTTAAATTTTATTCTGGATCATATTTTTTAAATATATATTTATTAATATTAAAAATTATTTTGTTTTTGTTTTTAAATGTTAAATTTTTTAATAAAAGATTGTAGTTTAAATATTAAAAAAATATATAAATGTAAGATATGAATTTTAAATTTATTAAATATCACATCTTGAAAATATTTATATGAATCAATTGAATCAATTTTTAAATATAAAATTTAAAATTTTCACTATCCCAAAACTTTTATATTATTGTGGTTTGTTGGGGGAAGGAAAAAAAAAATGAAATAGTTAATTTTAATTATAGTTGATGGTTGCTTAATATTGATAATACCATTTTTTTTGTCTTTCAATGGCCTAATAATTCATATTGTTATTAAGTAAATTAATATTTATTTATTTCAAGAGAAAACATATTGTAATATTTAGTTAAGAGTCACTTTTGAATAATTAAATTTAATAATAACCAAAAAAAAAGAAATTTTTTAATATTTTGAAAAGAGATTTGTAAGCAATTTTGTGTTTTGAACATAAATTAATCTATTTTATTTGTATCATCTAAAATAAAAAAAAAATTGATTATTATATTATATAGAATAACCAATTGTATAGAATTTATTTATAAAAATATTAGAATTCAATCTCTAACAATTTTAAATGTATATATAAAAAACTTATTTATTTTTTTTGTCATATATTTCTTCACAACATAACATTTGTTTCTATTCAAATTAAATTGCAATAATTTTTCTTTCATCCATGTAGTTGATGTGTAAAATCTTTAGAAAAATTTATTACTAATAATGCATATTTTAGTTTTTTTTTATTGTTGAAAGAGGAAAATTTATTTTGTTAATAAACAAAATGTTTTTACTAAAAAAAAGTAACAATAAAAGATAATTCCTGGTTAAAAAGTTATTATTACAAAATTAATAATATAATTAATTTATATGAAATAGAATAAATTCATAAAATATTTTTTATTTTAAACAAATTTTAGAAAAAAATTTAGTAATTTTCATTAATTTCAAAATTATTGAAAATAATAATAAAAAATAAATTAATGAATTAAACTTTAAAATGTTTTCTGCAAAGAAAAAAACTGGACCTAAGAAGCCCATTGCAGCCTAAACTTTTGCTGTTATTTTGGGCCCAGTGGGCCTCCTTTTGAAGTAACGTAGCCCAAATCATAAGCAATATATTTACGACACGTGTTATAACATAAATCTACTGACCAAAAATTAGGGTTTTCAGAACTCCATATATAGACCAGTCCATATGCGATTTCATCTCCCATCTGATCATTACCCGTTGCTGATAGATTATAGAGATAGGAGCCTCAGATTTGCGACGCATGGATACACGCCAAGTGACCATCCCTCATTTAACGGTCACTTTTTCCCTCGTTTAGCTTTCCCTCCCTCTTTCCTTTTCTCATTGATTTTTCTGTGGGTTTCTTTTCTTGCGAAGATCTCTTCGCTAATTTCATTAATTCTTGACTAAAAACCTTTCTTGAAATTCCAATTTCCTTTTGAAATTTGGGTTTACGACAATTTTGCTTGTAAATGCCATGTTTTTCCCTTTTCGAATCCCAACTTTCTTTATTGTTACAAAATAAAACATGTTTCTTCTTTTTTACTAAACATCAATTGGGGTTTTTCGTTAGATTTTTTTTTTTTTATAATTTTACAAAGATTCTCGAATTTTTCTGTAAACTTTCTTTAGATTTTATAATTTTGACAAAGATTTTGTGAAATTGGTTTTATTTTCCGGTCTGGATTTTCTTTATTTACTGTTTTTTTTTTTTTTGTGTTGTGTAAATTTACCTGGTGCTGTGGATGATCTTGATTGTCGGTTAGTCAGTTCAGAGTTGAATCCAAACAATTGTGGGTAAAAATTCTTTGTTATTTTCTTAATCCAAACGATTATCTGTTAATCACCATTATTGGTACAGTTTGATGTCTGTTAATTCCCAAACCATTCCAATTTACTTCCCCTTTTGTTACATTCTCTTAATCTTTTAGCGGTCATGGAGATTTTGTGGCCTGTTAATTTTGTTGTTTTGTTTTGATTCTGTTCAGTCTAACACAGATTGAGCCAAATGCCAATCACAAACACTTGGTGGAAAGATAGGGGTTGTTGGTTATGCTCCCTTGTTTTAATTCAACTCTGTTCTTGCAGGTGAGTAGGCTCTGATATTAGACTTTTGGTAATGAAAATGTTTATTTTATTCATTAATCATGACCAATTCCTTTAAGATGCATGTAGATCCAAGTCTTGCTGAGGTAACTGCACCATTGTTGGACTTTGGGGAGTGGGTATGGATCCGTGTTTCTCTAGCTATTGGTTCGTTAATAATGTACTATCTCAATTTTTGGTACATGGCATTATGTCACGTTCTTCTGTTTAAATCAAACTTTCTTTGTTTTGTCATGTTCTCCAATGTTGCTTGAAACAAAAAATGGATGCTGATTCTGGGTTTTAGATTTCTCGTTGTATTGTTGTGGAGATCACGCTAGTTATTGTCAAAATATTCATCAAAAAATTTTATGATATTATCTCATAAAAAATATTTTATAAATTTAAATTTATATATATATATATATATCATGACATATCTTAAAAATTTTTTAATTTGAGATTTGGGTATCTCATTTGTAGATCAAGCACGACTTCATCCCGCTGACTGCTGAGATCTACTTTGTTCATGTGCAACTTTTTATTCAATTACATCTGAATTTTAGTCACTAATCTAAGTGTTTTACTTTTGTTTCGATGGGCGTGACTCATGATTACATGAATCTGTAATATTAAATCTGTGGATCCGTTTCACATTGATTGATTTTACTTATTAATTTAATGGCTGCAAGTGATCAAATGTTAAGAAAAATAAAATATAATAAGTATTTTTCATTTTGTTTTGGTTCGGAGATTAGAATTGATGTTGACGTGTTAATACTAATAAATTATTTAAGTTTGATTTAAATAAAATTTAAATTTAATTTAATAATTATTAAGTTGAATTGCTTAAGTTGGATTTATGAAATGAATTAAATTTAAATATTTGAAATTTGATTTAAATAAAAATTATTATTTTATCTTTATATATATAATATATATTAATTTGAGTTTAAATTCAAATTTATTGAAATTAAAATTAAATATAAAAATTAAATTTATTTTATTAAATAAATTTAATCAAATAAATTTAAATAATTTAATATTTATTTTAAATTTAATTTAAATTTAAAAATTAAAATTCGATCGAATTTTATTACACCCCTCCGATGCTATTGAATTGTACCCGAGGAGACCGTCGGCGTTAGTGTCGATTTCGATATCACTAAGTCAACGGTTCATCCGCGAGCAAGTATGTGAAAGACCATACTAATTACCAACTGAGGTGGTTTGTTCTTTTATTGCTTGATGATCTCATTAAATGCAAAGACTACTTGACAATTCAACGAACAGAATCATCTGTAAGAAGGAAAGGAAAAAAAATAGAGAATTATCCAAAATAAAGAGACAGTCAAGATTTGTTAAAAAAATTTTAACAAAAAGGAAAAGAAAAAGAAAAAGTGAGAAAAGAAGCAGAAACAGTTCATCATCATCGAAGAGATTCGGCGAAATAGCAGCTGGAGTAATAAACCCTAAACCCCTAAAATCTTTCGATTGAAATCAGTTCAGATTTCTCGTACATGGCTTCTTCAGAGATCGAGGTGCTATCATTAGAATCAGAACCCAAAACCCAACAACAAAACCCTACTCAACAAATTGCTGTAGTTGATGTCTTCTCGGCCTCTGCTTATGGAGATTTTCACAAACTGAGAAAATTCGTCGAAGAAGATGGTGCCTCTCTTATAACACCTGACAGTAACGGCTATTACGCCCTTCAGTGGGCTGCTTTCAACAACTTGTCAGATATTGCCCAATACATTATCGAGGTAAATTGGAAAATTTTTATGTTTTTATAGCTTTCTGGTTGGTTTTTGTTGAGATTTAATAAATTTTTTTTTTTTTTTGGTTTAATATAATTGAAGCATGGTGGAGATGTGAATGCAATTGACAAAAACAAGCAAACTGCTTTGCATTGGGCTGCAGTTAGGGGTTCGACTGCAGTGGCAGATGTGCTCTTGCTAAATGGAGCTCGGGTCGAAGCTGCTGATGTCAGTGGGTATCGGGTAGACTATTTTCCCTTTTATCTTGCATTGTCTGTTGAGTCTTGTTATGGCGTAACCATTTATGGGTCTCTAAAAGTTTCAATATTTTGCCGACTTATTTAGCTTCAATACTTATTACTGCACTTAATTTTAGAGCTCAATCAACCTATTTTCATCTTCATGCATTCTATAGTAAGTACTTCTGTAACAGTGCATATTAGGAACCCCTTTTGTCTACTGCAGGCAGTTCATATAGCAGCTCAGTATGGGCAAACGGCTTTCTTAAATCACATTATTGCAAAATATCACGCTGATTATGATGCACCTGATAATGATGGAAGGTCGCCACTTCATTGGTATGTTTTTATGAAATAGGTTAAATGTTGGGTTACTTCATAATATTTGCTTAGTGCTTGAGATCATATAAGTCTAATATAGGCAATTAATCATATTTTGGATAGACCAAAATAATTAGTACTATCTTTCAATATAGGTTCTGTGAAGGTTTTTCTTTTTGGCTCTACTTTGTTCATGTATTTTTTATGAATGCCAAATGATGCTTGTTGGTTGTCTATGAACCCAAGATCATGTGTGTAAAAGGAGTTTTACCCCTAATATATGGGCTAGTTCTAAGAGGGGATAACAATTTGGTGCAATTTCAGAAGTGGTCTGAATTTGGTTGTTGTAGCATAGTTGGGGCAAATAAAACCTTTCACATGTGATTTTTGGTACATTGTTGATGTTACTCACATACCCAAGCAGTATCCAAACTGCAATGTCAGTCCCAATCCCTTTTTTAACCCAGGCTTTTAATATTTGATACTTTAATTTGGTTTCTTGTGCATTAGCTTTTTTCTGTGAAAAGTGATAGTAAATGTTTGTTAATTAGAATTTTTTATTCGTATGATGCGATAAACAGGGCTGCATATAACGGATCTTCGGATACAATTAGATTGCTTCTATTTAGAGATGCATCTCAAGGGAAACAAGACAAAGAAGGTACCATGTGACAATTAATATGCACTGTCTCACATCCAAGCTTTTAACCTTGTAGAAGGTACCGGTCAATGTGCTCATGACCTTCAGAGCTAATATGTAATGTATACACCTGTGTCCAGGAAATATTTGTGATTAATACTGCCATGGTAGAAAATAGAGTATTCTGGTTATGTGATAATCCATATGGAATTGTCTTTATGATTTAAATTTGTAAATTGTGGTGAGAATCTTCTGTTTTCAAACTGAACTCTGTGATCATTACAATTTACTTTTGGTGAGCCAAGCTAGAGCTTATTCAGTAATTGCTTTGATCTTACTACTAAGTTTTTGATGATATTGTATATCCAATGCTGCCAGGTTGCACTCCATTGCACTGGGCTGTAATAAGAGGAAATGCAGAGGCATGCACTGTACTTGTGCATGCAGGCACAAAGCAGGAATTAGCGGTGAAAGATAAAGCTGGATTTACCCCTGTTCAGCTTGCATATGATAAAGGTCATCGGCAAATTGCTGTCTTCCTTGTACGTAGCTCTGTGTAGTTGTTGCGTTGTTTAAATCCTTTAATTAAACTAAACTTTGAAGCCAGGAAATGTAAATATGGTGTCTATGAGGAAATGAGTCTTGGGATTCTGCCAGTAGTATTTGTCTGGAAAATGTTCTCATAGAGAGCATAACTGTAACAGGGGTAATGCTATTGCTGGGTGTTTCTGACTCTATGTAGTCAGTCATCTTATTCTTAAGCATGCTGTGGGCTTTCTACTCTTTCTAAATCTTACTGAACTTTTTTTTTTGATAAGTAAATCTTGTTGAACTATTTTCTTCTGTCTTCATATCTTTTCTTAAAAAAAGAAAAAGGATCATCTTGTACTTCTCATCTATGTATGTTTCTGAACGCTTAAGTCATGAGTTTGTGAGTTGTCCATCCTAATTACTTCATTACTGTTTTAAACAGCCAAAAAAGTTTAAATTGATTAAGTATATGGAGTATTCCCTCCCTCTGGTTGGGGTGGGGGGGGGGGATGATATAGTCGCTGGTGCCGAACCCATTAGCTTATAATTTTTGGAAAACCGATTAAACAGTCATATAAGGTGTTGCCTTTCTGGGTTGTGTTTGTGTGGGGTGCAATGGGGCTTGAGTCTGATACTTTGGTTGCAAATTTGAAGGATGGGAGAATATCATCTGTAATACGTAATTGTTGCCTGTAGAACACCATGACACCCTCTAAAATGTGAATATTTTCTTATAGAAGGGTATTAGTTTTGCAGTTTATTGCTTTTTGTGCCCTAGAGTTGCATTATTGGTTTAGTGTTAATGTCTGGTTAGAAATTAATTATCAGAGATGGTTTGCACAGTTGGTATATGTATCAAATTCTCAAACCATTCCAAGTGATATATCCTGTTGTTACATTCTCTTAATCTTAGCTATCGTGGAGATTTTGTGGCCTTTTAATTTTGTTGTTTTATTTTGATTTGTTCAGTCTAATGCAGATAGAGCCAATAGCAAATTCTTGGTGGACAAATTTTGCAGTGGGAAGATGGGGAAAGTTGGTTATGCTCCTATATTGTTTTGTTTTGTAATTCTTCTTATTATCCTATTCATCAACTCGGTTCTTCTTGGTGAGTAGACTATGATATTAAACTTTCAGTCATGAACTTGTTTATTTTTGTCATTAATCTTGAATAACTCCTTTAAGATGCATGTAGCTCCAAGTCTTTCTAAGGTAACTGCCATTGTTGGACTTTGGGGATGGATTGGTGTTTCTCTAGGTATTGGTTCGTTGATAATGTTCTACAGATGTAGTAGGTAATTCTTTGTGCTCTGACATTGATATTCATTGAATTGATTTGACATATTTGTTTTATTTGCTGGTTTCCTTTTTGTATACTTGGGCAACTGGTTATAATTTTTAAGAGCATCGTGCATGAAATGTTATTGTACAGACTTTTGGCTAGTCTAGTCTTAGGAGCTATCGTTATCTTTCTCTTTTGGTTTTATATGCTTAGAGCACAATGCATTACTGGATAGAAGATTAGATGTGGCTCTGCTTGGTACATTGCTTTTGAACCAAAAATTGAAACATTTCACAAATTTGGAAATTAAACTACTCAGTGAACATTTTATTGCATTCACGATTTGTGAACAAATGGAGCCATTATCTGATTTTAAACAATTTTTTACTCTTGGTTAAATTTTTTATTTTAATTTTTATATCGTTTTCTTGATTGTCTTTCACAATTCTATGCAGTAAAGATCCGGGTTATATTAAAAAATTTAGAAGATTGGATGGCTATGAAGATTCAGAGGTATAACCAATTTTGTTTTTACTTGGTCATAAACTTTTAACCTTCAACGGCGGCTAGGAATGAATGAAAACTATGTGAATCCTGTGGAGACTGCAATATTCATAAAGGGGAGACACAAATAGCATTAGTGTTTGAGTGAGCTGGGTCATGGTTGTAGGAAGGGTGAGTATAGCACGTAGCATTGTTGTGTAAAAGTTTTATAGCTAATAGAACCCACATACCATAATCATAATGTCATATATGTAAGTTTTATGTTTGTATGTGTTTCTAGCATGAAGGGTGAATTTGAGGCTTAGATTGTCTGTTTGCCTGAAATGGACATTCCATTTGGTGTCTTCCTAATCACTGGTACCCAATTAGACGGTGGAAGTAGAGACTAGAAGTTCTCTAGCTTAGCCATCTTTGTGCAATAAATTAAGAGTTTGAGGGCAGGCTGTTTAAAAGGTCTAGCTTGGAGATGCAGAAAATTTTTGTGTGGAGCATGAGTGGGCTTAAGGTGATTGAGCTCCTACGGAGACTTAAGAGTTTGATTGGTTAATTAGTCTGGTATGACTGTTGAGAGGGACCTAAAAGATTGCCAAGCTAGTTATTAATAGTAGAGCTTGCTATCTAGTTGATTACTACAATCATGAATTGATTGTCCAGCTGCTTTTTTATTCCTTCACATTTCATTTCTTCTTATGTTAGATGTGACTTTGGAAGTTTTTTATAGCTTGATCAATAGGCCATAGGTGTCGCTGATCTATTTGTAAATGGTGAGCCTTGTACCTCACTTTTAATATAGGATAGATTCAAAAGGAAGCAAGAGAAACTAAAAAAAAGGATTTTAAGCTCTTCAGTTTTTCTATTATTTTACATGAACTGGACCATAAATATATTCCCAATTGGCAGGATCCCTTGCTGGATATTGATCTGAACAATTCGTCAGTATGGACAGGAAATTGGTCTCAGCTTTGCCCTACCTGCAAGGTTTCCTGATGAACCTTTTCTTGTAACCATCTATTGCATATCTACATGAATATTTCCTCAGTTTGCAATGCCATTTTGACAAAATTTTCTCTAAGTTGTCAGATAATAAGACCTGTTCGTTCGAAGCACTGCCCTATCTGTGATCACTGTATTGAGCAGTTCGACCATCATTGCCCTTGGATATCTAACTGTGTTGGGAAGGTAAGAAATTGGTCTTGAGCAAAATGTCGAAGACAACCATTTTTTATCTGGAGTAGGAGGTCTATTTGAGATCAATATATTGTGGCTGCAATTGCTATCATCTTACTGATGCAGATATGTTCAGAAACTCATCTAGGACTAGGCTGGTGAATTCATTATTTTTCATGCCTGTAGTGTACAAAATCATATGCCTTTTGTTGACTCTTGAATACTCTGTAGTTGTTTTCATTTTGGAAGATGTAGTTATTGGTGTCAGTAAGAGCATTTGTATAAGGATGATGTTGATGTCACTATGGAGCATCTGGTGATATCATTAGATATTGAATTGAAAGACTAACATGGATGTCCAGGCCAATCCTGTGGTCAGTGGGCCAGCTTTCACATTACTGGCACAATCCATTCCTTCTTTTGCTTCTTCATTTATTTTTGTTAGAAACTTACTATTTTAGTCCCTTTTTTCAATTCATCTCCTACTGAATAATTTCAACAGGATGCTATTGGTGACTGGTACTGCAATCTGATTGTTTTTTTTTTTTTCTTCTTTTCACTTCCTTACCCGTTATACTTACTGTGCACTTGCAGAGAAACAAATGGGACTTCTTTGTTTTCATTTGCATGGGAACCTTGACTTCATTCCTTGGTGCATTGGTTGCAGTTCAAAGTATGTGGACTAAGACAAATAAGGCTCTCCTCTTCCTCACCATTTCTGATTGAGATCGAATTAGTTTATATTTGACTTATTAAATGGTCTCAATTGTCACAATAGGGATTTGGACAGCAGTACCAGCATTGCCTGCTGGTGAAACATGGATTCATCATGTGATTGTTCATTATCCTGGTCTTGTTGCATTTCTCATATTGGATGTTCTTCTTTTGATTGCTGCTACCACTTTGACCACAGTACAAGCATCCCAGGTAAATGAAGATTTTAAGTTTACCTACTTTTACCTTCATTTCACTGAACTATTTGACGATTTTAAGGCTGGTTAAAGAATGGTGAAATGGCAAAATTGATTTCTATTAAGACTCAAATCAAATTGCTTCCCCTTTGAACTTGAGATGATTTAACTAATATGTTGTTAAATTTTTGGGTCTTTATTTTCTGATGTAGATAGCTCGGAATATCACCACTAATGAATTATCAAATGTCATTCGCTATGGCTATCTTCGTGGCCATGATGGACGTTTCCGGAACCCATATAATCATGGTTGCCGAAAGAATTGTGCAGATTTCCTCATTCGTGGCTACACTGATGATGAAATTGCTTGGCCTCCGTTACAGAGAGTTGCCAGTTAGAGCTACTATGGTTAGCTTGTGTCATGTTCCCTATTGTGTAGATTCATACATCCCAGTCCCAGTCATGTTGATATACAAACCCTTTGCTCATTATGACCAGAAAGGAAAGAGGACTTCAGAATTTAGAAAGTCTGATTCAAAATATACTACAAAAAATTTCGTATGATAAAGCAATGTATGGGACTATTATGGAATGGGAATTACAAGTTTTTTATTTTTTTTTAAAGGGTTAATGTCAGTGAAATATTTAATATGATATATTAATTAAAAAAAATTTGAATATGGTACATAAATTATAAATTTATCAATTAATTTGGAATTTACTTTTAATATCACTTCTTATAAATGATGATATATGTTAGATAAATAACTTTTTTAAGTATTTATTAATTAATAGATTCATAATTTATGTATTATATAAGAAAATTTTAAAATTTTAAATATCAATTGAATATGTTACTATAATCAAGGATCATTCGTGATTAATTTTTTTTAAACTGCTTATTATTTCAACCACAATCCATCTCCAATAGGGAAGGACACTATTTTTCATGAGAATTGAATGCGGGAAAATGTTCATTAAAAAAAAAAAATGATGTAAGTGTACCCATCCCCGTAGGGATTGAAATTGTTTGTCATTTAAGTAGTAGTATTTATTATGACAATAAAATGGTTGCCTCACTACTAAGATGCACTCACAAATTGTGAACCAATAACTAATATGGCGGAAACTATGCATACAAAAATAAAATACAGGTGGATATATGACTTTGACTTCCATTCGGCCATGTCTGATCCTTCACGGGTTTCAGGATTCAACTTCAGGTAGAGTTTCCTGATCTTTCCCAGAAAATGCAACTGCCGGGGCAGCAGCTACATTCTCTTCAACCTGATTATTGACAAGCTGTACATTACTAACAGCTCGAGCAGCAGCAAGCTCCTGAAAAAATGTAAACGTGTTTTTACAGGTATGAAGTAGCTGGAATAAGAAAATTCTATTGCCAGGCGGAACCCTATCAAGCACACAAGTAAAAATTTCCAACAGCAATCCTGTAATACCAATGAAACGAATCTTCCCCGCTTCCTTTAAGAGGTGGAATTGTCTCAATCACAATTTATTGCCGCCTACAAACTGAAAAAAAATTAACCTCAAGCAAGCTTTCGTATCAGATTTGCAAGACAAACTCCTTCCCAGCACATCATCAGATGTAGACCCAACAAACCATACGAACATAAATGGGTCCACATTTCAATAATAATAACTCTGTTGAATTAACAAAATGTATGGATCCATGTCTATGGACATATCAAATCATAGGGCCATGTCAAATTGAACTATCCATATTTGTTAGTCCTGTATCTGACTGACATGTTAAGCACGCTTTCATCCATATTGCAAAAACGAACATTTTGAAGCTTCATTATCATGGGCCGTTGAGCTTTATACATACATTTTTAAGGGTTAGTTTGACGGTCACGTTCAGGGATGAATTCAGAATTTGTATTAAGTGAGGATAAAAATATATGTAATATTAAATATATATAAGTCAACTAAAATATATAAAAAATTATTTTATGTATATATAAAAATAATATATTATAACTATTTTTTATGAGTTTTTATATTTTGAAAGCATTATAAAATTTTTTTTATTATCACTATTACAAAAAATGTATATTTTTATATATATAATCAAATAATCATTCATCCAAAAATCTTCTATTTGATTATACAAACAATTCTTTAGAATTTTAATAACATAAAGAGCTTTTTCAATTGATGCAATAGAAATTGATAATATCAAAGCTAATTTCATAAGTATATCAATAAATACACAAAATATTTTTTTGTCTTAATAAGTTTTATGGAGAGGTTACTAATACTTTTTAAGTTTGTAAACTCATCATGAAATCTTAACTCAACAATGTAAGTTTTAACTTGATTGTCAAGAAATAATAGTTTCATATTAGAAAATTCGATTGAATAAAATTGAGCAAAACGAATTAACTTTTCTTTATCAAAAGTTATAAAATAATCACAAAGATTTAAGGAAACCACACAAAGAAATAACTCTATATTTATCTTATTAAACGATTATTTAGCTCTTGAAATTACATATCAATTACTGTGTAAAACAACTGATGGGATAAAATAACCTCAAACAATATTCAAACTGAATATGTCATGCATCACAAAAATTAAATTATCTATCTTTTATGTGAGTTTAGTAAGAATCAAACAAATAAAGCTAACAAATAAATCACTAAACCACAAGCACAAGAACATAAGCAATTTATGTGGAAAACCTTCCCAAAATGAGGAGTAAATATCACGAGTAGCAACAAATAATTTTTACTATCAAAATAATGAGAATACAAAGTTTTCTTTAGCTAGAATTAGAGGCATACAACCACAATATTTCAAGATTAAACAATCTTGGTAAAGAAACAATCTTGCAAGAGAAAATCGAAGAAATCTCAGCAAATTTAAGGATTGACAAATACCTACGAAATTAGTAGGTAAAAAACTCAAAACCCGATCTTTATTGTTCGGATCGAAGAATAATGAGTTATGAACACACTGATAAAATTTTAGTTCAATCAAACAACGGATTAACCTCGATCAAACTACTTGTCGGAATTGCACAAAATCCCATTTTCTCTCTTTTTTCTCTATTTTGCCGCCACACTCTCTTGTTTCTTTTTTCAGCCATATAAGAGTTTAAAACCCTATAACTAAGCATGAAAGACTAAAAAGGTTTTGGTGAATGGGTTTTAGTTTTAAGTCACCTCCACATGGAAGAAACCACGCCCAACAACAACTTAATCCAATAATAATATAAATTTGTCATTATTTGAGCATTGCATTGAAGTCTTCCATGAGTTATAAATATATCATCCATATTTTGGATGCCAATATTTTTTTCACAAAATAAAAAAACCTCATTGTGCAAAGATTTTAATCTATCATCTTTCATCGTTTATAGTCGTTGCTTTGCTACTTTTACTAATGCCATTACATTCACTTGTGTTTGTAATGCCAATGACAATTTATTTGTAATTCTCAAGATATTTTTCATTAAATGTAAGTTGATAGCAAAGTCAAAAGATTGAGTCAAATCTAATAAAGCATAAGCTTTACCTCTTTACTCTGAGCTACCCTTATACTCTATATTAATTTCAAGCGCATCAATAATGAAACTAAATATAAGGATCAAATTTATCAAAATCCTATAATACGAACCCTATCGTGATCCCTAGTTTGTTGAAAACTTATTTTTTGATTTAAATCATTTCTCGTTAAAAGTTCATTGACTCATAATGCCTTAACAACTTTATCAAGTTGTTTTTCTTGAAGAACATATCTTCGTTTATATGAAATCCCAACAATATTCACTACATTTGTCACCATTTTAAAAAGTAATGCAATTTGAACATGATTCTTTGCACGATTACAAGTGTCAATTGAAGTTGATTAGTAAAACAGTGAACATAATAAACAGATGCATTATCTTTCATGATCAAAGTTTTTAAACTATTGAATTCATCTTACATGTTGCTTGCTTTATCATAATCTTATCCACGAATCCTTGAAATACTCAAATTACACTTAGAGAATAATACTTCAATAACTATTTCAAGTAACAAAACGGTTATATCACTGATATGTACTATACCTAAAAAAGGTTTAATAACATACCCTTTAAAATCCATATAGCTCAAAGTAATAATAGTTTTTTTTTTAATTAAAATATCAGAAGATTCATAAAGTAAAATGAAAAATAATCCATCTCCAAGATCTTCCATGACAGTATTGATAATCTCAATTGCTGCGACACAAATAAGATCTTTTTTAATATCATGCACTATCACTTTTCTCGATGCATTCTTCAAGATAACATTATTAATGATTTCATTATGATTGGCAAAAATGTAAAAAGCTCAAGAAAATTTCTTTGATTGTGAGAAAGACATATTCAAAATACAATTATGCATGATAATAAAAATCAACATACCTTATATTTGAAATATATGAGAAAAAATGCAATTCATATATTTTAAACATATTGCCGTACAAGAAATTGGATAAAATTTCTAAGTAATTTTGTAATCTTCATATAAAAATTAATTTTTGCTAAATTTAAAGTTAATTTAGTAAAAAAAGTAATAACAAAAAATATAAAAACACAAAAAACTGAAACATTATAAAAAAAATATACATGCTATCAATGACATGATCAAATTACTTTATCAATATAACAAATTTCAAATAGTAAATAAATACTTTATCACATCGATTGATTGATAAATTACAAAAATATAAAAAAAATTAATTAGTTACTTAAATATCTTATTAGAAGAAGAAAATAATTAATTTCTAATTATTTATTTAATAGCTATTTTTTTCCTCTTTTTATTTCTCTAGCATAATTCTCTGTATTAAAAGTTCTTCTTGCCTTCTTGAATTGAAAAAGTGAAAGCTACAAACGAAGTGAGTAAAAAAAAAAAAAAACCGACGGTTTTTTTGTAATCATTTTACTTCTTTTTTTTTAATAATAATCTTAAAATCCTTTTTTATATGTATCATTTACCTTTAATTAATATAGCTTTTGTCTTTTATATACACCATATATTTTATTTTTATTTTCAGTGGAGCATTATAAAGAAACTAAAATTTTTTAATATTTTTATAACATATTTTTAAGGTGCAGGAGGGGACAGCCGCCCCCAATGTGCATCCGTCCCAGGGGTCACTGTAATTTCATTTGTGACATTTGAATCAATTTTCAACCACTAGTTGGCTCATAATGTCTGCAAAACAACAAAAAGAAAACCAGGGATTGTGTTTGACGCTTATTTCTCAGCAAAAGCGACACTTCAACACACATACATACATACGTATATATAAAATATGCTGCTGTTATCATTAATGTACAGAAAGTAGAGATTTTCATTGAGTGCGTGAAATGTCATTGGCCTTTTCAGATCAACTGCCCCGTCAGACTGGCATTGGTGGACTATATAACAGGCAAAAGCTCTAAAAAGTTTGAAGAAAGTTAGTGCTCGGTTCTTGCTTTACAGGAGTTTTTTGACATTAGAAAGCTTTAGCTATCATTAAAAGGTGAGATTTCAGGCTACAGCTATTTAGTTTGCTTCTCATTGATACTGTTCTTAATCCTCGAAACGCTTTAATTTGTTTACTGCTTATTATGAAGTGAAAAGAAAATCAATTTCTAGGCCTCGTGAAATATGTATGTTTAAAGACATCGGCTGCATATTTATGTAAACATGCTTAATTATTCATATCTTTCGGTGACTTTTCCTGCCAGGATATACTTCAACAGGCTCTTTCTCTCAAAAAGTGGATTCTTCAATGGAGAATTCATCAATCAGAGAGTTGCCTGAACTGGTAAGACTCTTTTGAACTCTCTTTTTGATATTATTGACTGTTATAGGTAACTCTTTTCAATAGTGCGTGAAGTACTGCAACATTTGTGATATTCAAGACTGTCATTTTTAATCCACAGGGAATGGAGGATCCTTACTTATTCAATCAGTGGCATATGTCTCTTGATGAGCTCAGCATCCTCCCACTAGCAACTGAGAACTTGCAGCACTCTTTCTCTAATAACTATCCGACCGCATTTAACCTCAAAACTTCTGTTGAAACTTCTCACACTGGCATTGATAGACCTTCAAAACAGCTTAAAACCAACAGCTGGAATTCATGCAAAACTGATACAGCCGATATATCAAACCTTCAAGTTGATTTTGTTCCAGACACTCTCCCATTTGCCAGTTCCAACGACATAAATCCAGTGGGCAACGTGAAGCCTAAAGAAAAGGCCGCATGTTCTCGGAATCCCATTGGAAGCCAAAATTATGTGCTTAAGGGTTGCCATGGAGCTAAAAGGGTTAGCACAAGCAATAGAATTTCTCAGGCACAAGATCATATCATGGCAGAAAGGAATCGGCGAGAAAGGCTCAGCCAGAAGTTCATAGCTTTGTCTGCTATAGTTCCTGGCTTAAAGAAGGTACATATTGTTCTAGTTATATCATTTTTGCCAATAATTCTGATATCCAGTTTCCGGTTTATATTGCAATGTGATTGGCAGATGGACAAGGCTTCTGTGCTTGGAGATGCTATCATGTATCTGAAACAACTGCAGGAGAAAGTTAAGACACTAGAGGAGCAGATTAGGAAGAAATCAATGGAATCAGTACTTTTTGTGAAGAAATCTCAACTCTTGGCTGACATTGATGAACTTTCCTCGGATGAAAATATCAGTGGCCCTTTTGATGTGCCACTACCAGAAATTGAAGCAAGATTTTGCGACAAAAGTGTTCTCGTAAGAATTCACTGTGAGAAAAGAAAAGGAATTTATGAGAAAATCATGTTTGAAATCGAGAAATGTCACCTAACAATCATCAATAGCAATGTCATGACATTTGGGAGTTCCACTCTTGACATTACTATTTTTGGTCAGGTATTTAAATTCTACCGCACTATGAGTTCTGGCACATAATCAAGAGTGACAAGAAAATGTTTGTTTGAAACAGAAAAATGGGAAGTCATATAATTTCATGTCCTTTTCTTCAAAACCCTTTTAACATAATCTCCATTTTTGCAGATGGATATGGAATTCTGCATGACAATAAAGGATCTCGTGAAGAAGCTGCGTGCAGCTTTTTAAATTGCTCATGAGAAAAATCTTCCCTTAACTATCATATATATATATATATATATTATAAGCTTTAAAAGTTTGGAATAATTAATATTCTTTTAAGTATAAATTCAGCAGTCTGAACTCTGACAACAAGGCCTTTTAGCTCCACCACTCAAGACCATCAAGTTACTTTTGCAAAAGTCCACTTTTGCAAGAGGGTTATTTTCAGTCAATTTTTGCCTGGTCCTACTGTTGACCATGTTGAATTCCAAGTTAATTTAGGAGTGGTCTCACAACTCATTTGGGCTTTTTCTTTGGGAGGTTGAAAGTTCAACTTAGACTGTGTTTTTATGGTATATCCTTTCGTACCTAAATTGGTTGAAAAAGGGCAAAAAATGTTTTCTTTTATATGTTTGGACAAACTGGCCTTTGTTGCAGCAGTACAACTCTGTTTATTTCAGTATGTGGTTTGTAAATATAGTCTGACAAAAATGAAATAAAGTTGTACCTAATTTCATCTAAATAATTTGCCATGGTTTTTCCCAGGATATTTTGATAACGCTTGTGGTCGAGGCTACAAATTTCATCTAAAATTTGTAAAAGCAAGAGAAACAAAATGTCAATTCGAGGCTACAAAAAGCTTTTGCATAACACAAACACCAAGCACAAGCGAAGTTACCCTTTAAAACGTGTTATATCCGTAAATTTATAACTAAATATAATTTAAAGAGTAATTATTAAATTTTTTTTAAAGTATAATTGATTACCTAATAATTTATCATTTTAAAAAATCTTAAGTTTGACTAACAATATGTTTGGATCAAGAAAAAAAAAAGATAAAAAAATAAAGTAAATGAATGTAAAGTAAACAAAACCCTCTTTTCTTTATTTGGATAATTTTTTAATTTAAAAAAAAAGATGTGAAAACCAAATAACCTTTGGTTTTCTTTGTAAAGTCAATTTTTTTAATACCCTAATTTAGAGGAAAAGTTAGGGAAAAGAAAGTTGAAAAATATTTTTTTTATAAAAGGATTATTATATCTATATTTTTATTAATACTAAAAACTTAATAAAAAAACTTAAATAGATCACAATCATCCTGTAATTATTTCAAAATCATCTCTTTTTTCAAATAAGTTTCACATATCTCTTCCAATATAAAATTTTTTATAATTTTTTGATAATTTGATTTTGATTAATGGTTGAATATGAATAGATATATTTTTTGGGTTTATGAAATGATAGACTAGCTTAAAATCAATCAACGCATGTTTGTAAAATATTTTTCTATTTCACTTAATTAAAAACCATTGATATAGTAGAGTTGTGAGGTTAGACAAAATAGCAAACATATCATTATCCTAGAGTTCTCTAAAATCATAGGTAATGAAAGGTTATAATTGAAAAAAATTATTATAATGAATCATTTTCTTTCTTTTTCACTTTTTATCTAAACAATAGTTGTTAGAATTTCTTTCCTTTTCTTTCTTTTATTAATTTTAATTATCCAAACAAGGGTTACATGTATCTTTTTCTTTCCTTTAAAAAATTTTCTTTTCCATTTTTTTTCCTTTCATTTCTTTTCCTTTATTAATATTTATCCAAACATAACGTAAAAGTCACTAAAGAATAAGTTCTGACATTATGAACAAAATTAGGTTCAAAAGTTCAATTACATATAGAGAAAGTTATAACACCCCTATAATACATATCATAAAAGACGGTATTATTTAATTTTAAATTATCATAAAGGTTTATAATTCTAATAATCTTAAATTTAATATTAGAAATAACTTTTAAGATTCTTCATCAATTTAATAGAATTTTTAAATATACTTTCTCACCTTTAAAGTATTCAAAAATCTTATTTGTTTTCTTGAAAAGGCTCCATTGTCGAAAAAATTAATCATTTATTTTTTGTTAAATTTTTTTTGTCAAAAATATATCTAATTTTTTCACAATTTGAGCCAAAATTAGAATATTTTCTCACATAGAATGTTTTAAATAATTCACAAATTAAAAAAAAAAGGTAAAGGTTTGCTCACTCGAAAACATTATTCAAACAAAATTATTGTTTATGTTTTTGCATTACTTCTGATCCTCAGAAGTATGTAAAAAATGGCAGCTATAGACATCAAATTTTATTCAGAACATTTTTCAACATGATTAACCTGAGGTTTATTTGCGAACATGGGCCAAGACCATTTAGAACCCATAAAGAGCTCACAAATTTGCCTATTCAAAAATTCAAAATCAACTCGGGACAAATTCGATCAAATAAAGGTAAAATTGCAAAAAACTTGATCAAAATGGATAGAGCCGGGGTCAATTTTAAAAATCCAAAACTTAATTGAAATCAATGTGGTTTAAAATTAAATTCAAGATTTTTCAAATCACTAAAATTTTTATTGTACCCCAGAAAGGTAAAATTACCAAAATACCTTTAATGGGGTATTTTTGTAATTTGATCTTTCTGAACTTAGATTTTCATGAAACTTTTCGGATCTCAATTTTATAACATTTCATGATTTTTTGTGCATTTAGAATCACATCAGTATCTCGAAAAATGTGAAATTATCAAAAAACTCTTATAAGAGTATTTTCATAATTTAGCTTTTTTGAGCTCAAAATTTTATGAAAATTTTTAGATCTTAATTTTATAATATTTTATGATTTTTAGTGCATCTAAAATCACAGTAGTACACCAAAAAGTGTGAATTACCAAAATAACCTTATAAGGGTATTTTGTTAATTTGGCCTTTTCAAACTTTCTAGATCTTAATTTCATAATATTTCATAATTTTTTATGTTTTAAAATCTAAAAAATGAGCATGTGAACATTGATTTTTAAGAAAATGACTTAAATATCAAAAATTTTACATTAGAGGTAAAATGATCTTTTCATGGGTTTGGATGGCATAAAAATTTAACTTTTACAGTGAATAATATGAACCATTGAATCTTCTTTGAATTTTGATCCAATGGTTAAAGCTTGTTCCTTGAAAAAAGAAAGAAAAAAACTTTAGCCCTTGGATGTAACTTAATCCAAGGGCCTATATTCATCAAGAAACAAAGCTTTTTGTTCTAAAACAAAGAGGCCAGTACAAGGAACATTTAGTGGGACACAAGCTGATGGGTTGAAGTGGAGGAATGACACATGCAATAAATGACAAGAAACATGGTTAGTGGAGCAAAAAAAATAAACATACCTTGGAGCCTTGAGGATGAAGGCTATGAAGCTTTAAAAAGAGTTTTCTGGAGTTTAAGGAAGGAAGCCGAAAACCATAGTAAAGGGGGAAGTTTATTTTTTTCAGGGAAAGAGAAAAAGAAAAAAATACAAAAGAAAAGAGGTGAGCACCGACAGAGGTTGGTTTTTTTTGTTATTTTCCTAACCTTTTTCATATTTTAGTTTGAAGCTTTACCTTCTACTTTATGTGTTATTTCTGTTTTTTTAAAACCCATTTATAGAAGCTTGAAGCTTTATTCGGTCATCCATCATTTCTTTAGTCTATATGTATAAATTTGGGGTCTCTTTATTTTTGGCACCTTTACCTGTTTTGTTAGTTCCAAGTTTTAATTTTTTTATATAGGTTGTACTTTTTTTTCTTGTCTGATTGCATGCAAAAGATAAAATCCATCTCTTCGTTTAGCCATAAAAGAAAGAGGAAAACTCTTCCTTTTTATGTGACAACTTAGAAAACATGCAAGATCATCAACCAAACCTCCAAGTCTCTTCCTCCTCTAGTGCATGGTTTGTCACACTTTTGAACTTGTGGTTTATGTGTAGAAACATCAAGCTTCAGTTGATGGCTTATTAGTGGTCTTCCTTTCTTTTTACTCTTAGAAATCGAGTAGAATTTTGATGCTTTATGTTGGTTTCTCTTTAAATGCAAGTTATTCCACTGTTATCTTGTTTGTTTAACTTTCATGCATGCTTTTGTCTCTTCATTCAGTACATGAATCATTTATAGATGTAGGGAAAAAATCACACGCAATGCACAATCCTACCATGGTCTTACTAGCCTAGTTTCTATATGTAGTGAAAATATCACATGCAATGCATGGTCCCACCATGGTTTTACTTGCCTAGATTCCATATAAAGTGAAAGAGTCAAATGCAATGCATGGTCCCACCATGGTTTTGTTTGCCTAGCTTTCATATGTAGTGAAAGGATCAAATGCAAGGCACGGTCCCACTTTTGTTTTGTTTGCTTAATTTTTTTTATGTGGTCGAGACATCACACAACTTGCATTGTTCCACATTATTTTAATACTTAGATTGCTTGCATGCTTTTATTTCTTCAATCCTTACATGAGTCCCTTATAAATGTAGAGAAAGTTTCATTTGTATATTAGTTTGGATTTTTTTTTACCATTAACGTGAAAGTTATTGCATTTTGTAAAATAATAATAATAATAATAATGCTAAGATGTATAATAACACAATTAAGGCATAAGAATATTTAAATATCTTTTTGCATAATGATTTTTAACATTATAATCGTGCTTATTCTTGGATTATGTTAGATTTTAAATGTCTAGTCTCTTTGGGCATAAATTGATATGCTTATGTTCGTTGAGTATATTTTATGCATTTTAATTGTTATTTATACTTTGAAGATTTTATAAACAATAATAATAAGAAATTCTATGTTAAAAATATATAAAATTTTAATTAATTTTTAGAATAATCATAAAAACGAACTTGCTCTAAAAGTCTACTTAGATGTTGGAGATATTTAGAGAGATTTGTAAATTCTTAAAATAGAAACCCAAACCTACCTAAAACCCCAAACTCGTTTTAATTTTATAAACATTTTGCATTAAAATATTTTACGAAATAATCTATTTTCGAATACCACCTAGATTTGGGGTATTTAAAAAATTTTATTTCATTAAAAACTTTCATATATTTCCACAGTTCAAAAAATAAATTCATTTTGTTTGAACCATGATTATAACAATACAATAATAATAAAATAATAAGATGAGATTTTAAATATAAAAATTCACACTCAAACTCTGCC